CTATTGGAAAATCAAAAACATTTGCTGCTCTTTATAATTTGGAAGAAATCATGTACAGTTTTGTAGATGATGCATAATTCTATGAGTAATGATCAAGATAGACAAATCATTTAACAATAAATTTTGGAAATGCCATAAAAAGGAACATTTTATTATATGTGATGCTTAAGCACATTGAGAGAGTTGAAGACCTCCAAGATCCCTTCCATCTCTGTTATTTTGTTAAGATACCACTATTAAGATATGTGCCATCAGTTATAAGAACATTAGAAAAGAGGAATTTTGTTAACAACATCAGGTTGGGGGATCAAAATTGAAGAATATGCAGCAAAGAATATGGTAACTGCAGTGAGGCTGTTATATGTACAAATGGAAGAATATAGAAACATTCTACCCGTATTGAAGGAATAGGTTGCGAAAATACCTGACTTTGCAGAAATGGTTAAACTGACTTGCTTAAGGAGAGAACTACAATTATTTATACAAAAGACCAGAAACCCTTTATGGACTTTTTGCTAAAAATGGATAAAAATGAATTGGGGATTTGGGGATTCATTAATTAAAAAATATCTGGTTTATGGAAACAGGAGAATAATGATATGTAATTTGGGAGGGTAGAAATACCAATTATTATTTTGTAACTGCTACAGATAAGATTGGAAGTCTTTTCTTAAGATATCTTTTCTTTTTCATTCTCTTTTATTATCTTTTTATTTTATTTTCTTGTTCTTTTTCTTTATTATTGTAGTTATTTTAAAACTTATGTAAAAATCTTGTACTAAAGTTTTCTTATTTCAAATGAAGACAGAATATGCAGCAATGCTAAATTTGAAGTTTGTATCCATAATAAAAGTCTAACGAAACATAAGTGAGAATGGCTCCCATATATACTACAGATTATACAACAGGGCAAATTTAGACATTTGGAATACACATTTAGGAAAAATGTATGCAATTAATGAAAATAATAAAAGAAAAAAGAAACTAGTAAAAATCTTCTAGTTAATGTAAAGCATACATTGAGATCAGTGGTTGGGGAAGAGATGGAAAGGAAGAGTAGAATGTGTTAATAGAAAGGTTTTTCCCCTTTACATTTTGTTAGGTCAACAATAAAAAACATATATTTTTAAAAATATTTTTTTTGCATATATGAATTACAGATTCAAGCCTGGTACTCTAAACAAGTTCTTCAATCAGTATGATCTCACTTTGTTCTTGAATTTTAAGTCTATGTTCACTCTTTCCCAAAACCACAATTTTGTACCATCATTTATCCCTCCTCACAGATCCACTAAGAAGGTCTATTTCAGAGTGCTAGCAAAAAAAAGGAAGTATAAAAATGATCCTAAAGATTGCTATCCAATAGGAAAAATGGCTCCCATGTACCTTACATCTATACATCACACTTCAAAGCAAATATAAACATTTAGAATATGATTTCTAAATTTATATTAATAAACTTTAATATATTTAAAATGTTAAATTTAAAAAATTAAGTTTAAACAATTTAAATGTGTGTGTGTGTGTGTGTGTGTGTGTGTGTATCAAAACTAAAGTTTAGTTAATCTGGATGTCTTTATATTTTTACTGTTTCTATTGTTTTAAAATGTTTTTACTATTTTTAATTCTATTGTATTTTTTTTAATTGCAAGCCACCCAGAGTCCCCGAGTAAATAAATAAATTAGCATTTCTATTTACTTTGTCTGGTACCATTATCTGTTATTAGTATTATTGAGCATTACAGGTAATCCCTGAGTTGTAAGCATTCCCTCAGTGAATGTTCGAAGTTATCTGATAAGCACCCTCTAATGCTTATGAGCAAATCCCAAAATTATGAATATTAAGGTGGCACAGCAGTCATTCACCCTTATGAGCGATTGCAGTGGCACTGCAACATTCACCCTGGTTATTCTCTCCCTCCCCAGCCCTGCCCTGGGTCTCCCTAAGCGCTAGTCCTTCAATACTCACTCTGTGAAAATCGATATCCTTCGATTTCTTGGCTGCTCCAGGCCTTTGGTGCATTTGTAGAGAATGGAGGCCTAAAGTAATGCAAGATCATGTGAGTTCAGTGGCGTGAGATCTCATGGTACTTTAGGCCTCTGTTCGTTGCAACAGAGAACGGAACCGAAGCCGGGGAACGCTTCCGCATGCCTCTGGAGGCTGCATCCGGGGGTCTGATCCAGGTGCCGGAAGCCTTTTTCAGGCTGCTGCTGCCCAGAAATAGGCCTCCAGAGGGCCACAGAAGTGTCCCCTGGCCTCAGATCCAGGTGGCAGTGGCCTGGAAAAGATCTCCAGCATCCAGATCCAGCCTCCAGAGGCTGTGGAAGCTTCCCCCTGGCCTCATTTCTGGGCGCCAGTGGCCTGGAAATGGCCTCCAATGCATGAATTGGGCCCCCAGAAGGCCGCAGAAGCTTCCCCCAGCCTCACTTCCAGGCGGTAGTGGCCTAGAAAAGGCCTCTGATGCCTGGATCCAATCTTCAGATGCAGCAAAAGTGTCCCCCAGCCTCAGATCCGGGCGGCAGCAGGAACCGCAGCAGAGAGGAGATGGATCTTTTCAAGGTGAGTCCAGCGTGGTATGAATGGAGGGGGAAGGATGCAGTATCTTAATTGGTCAGGAAGTTTTTGGGGGTCTGTTCCATCACTAGGCCCTCCATGGTCTTCCCCGAGATACCTCATGTTCATTTAATGAGCCGTGTGCATTTCAACGAGCAGGAAGTGATCTCATTTGAGATACGAGATTCATTCCTACGAGTTTTTGAGTTACAAATGGAATAGGCAGGCTCCACTATATTCGTAACTTGAGGACTATCTATAATTATATAACTGCAGAAATTTTCTTTCTTCACTTATTATCACTTTTAGAATTATATCTTTGTTTTAAATAATCAGCAGAGAATCTCTATAGCTCAGAGATTAACTATGGAGTTTTTAGTGCTAAGTTTGATTGCTTGCAGATGTTTCATTATTCAACTAGATAACATCATCAGTAACATTTCATTATCCAGCTAGGCTATATCATCAAATAAATGATTTTAAAAAAAGAAAAATTTCAGTTCATGGAGTCTCCATGAATTAGCCCGTAGACCCAAGTCTTCTTAATGGGGTTCTCTACTGGAATGCCCTTCAAAAGGAGCCTTGCCCATCTTCAGATAGTTACAGTTTTTAGCCCCAGGCAAATACATTCCTTCTTATCTTAGCATGCTAGGATTGTAAGCCCACAGTATTTTATAAGATAATTCTAATTCCTTGCATGAAATGGATGTACTGATATAGTTTAGATTCTATTCCCTATGCATTCTATAATATGTTTGAGGATATCATTGTATTTTCTTTTGAATTTCATGGGGTTTATTTTGTTTATAATCCACCATAGAATGTTTATATTTCAGCAGCTGTAAATAAAAAACAGGTCAATTTCTCCTTCCTTTCAATAGATATTTCTCGTCACTTAGATAGAATTAACATCCCTCTGCTTGTTGAGAACCCAAAAGTAACAATTTCAGTTAAATGAAAGCTTTAGGCATAGACCTTAAAATTACATTTTGTGAATGGTAAGTGGAATATTATTTTATTTCGTCAGCTGCATCTTTTTTTTCACTATTTGTGTTTTTTCAGCAGCAAATATTTATCAGGCATAATAGAGCTGTTGTGATAGTATGAACAATATGTAACTACTTCATAAGGCAATCTTAATATATGAAACAAATACGGCTGATCACTGCTAAACTTACAATTCCAAAATATATATTTGTAAATTCTATTTTTTTCTTAAAAGCTCCTTTAATATTATACTTTTCTGTGAATAATTTACTAGCAACATTTTATATATTGATATGCTATACTTGGCAAATGTACCATATTCACATGTACATGTCAATGAAATCCAAATCAACAAAATAATTGAAATCCATCCATCTTAAAGCTACCAAGATTGAGAAACACTGGTCAACAACCCAGTGGTGGGATTGAAATATGTAAACAACTGGTTCTCTGTGTGGATGCTGCTTCCGGAAGTCCATTCTGGGCCTGGGCAACAAAATATTAGCTACCGGTTCTGCCGAAGTGGTGCAAACGGCTGAATCCCACCACTGCAATAACCCCTTTAATGCTTCACTGAGGCCAAAAAAGAAGGTATTATGAATTAATTAGCATTTGCTTTTTGGTAGCTATTTGCATGGTTGAACAACTATGCATGCATATCAATATTATTCCAATTTATCTTGTTTGAACCTCAAAGCTAAACAGAATTGAGTCTGGTAAACATTTAGGTGGAAGATTGTTAGGATTACCAAAGCCATAGGCTAGACTGAAAAACAGTATTTGAAAACAAAGAAGCACTAACATTGAAAAACAAATCATGAAAATGGGCATCTCCATAAAGTCAGTAGGGATGAGCTCAGTTTGAAGGAGCTTGGCTTACCTTACAAAAGGTTATTCTGATAAATTTTCTGTGGATATATCATTTAAACTCTCTTGAGGTACAATTTTCTTCCAAGACAGAATACAGGCCTATAAATCTTACAAAGCAAGTTGACAAGTTGGGTCCCACTCTGTAGATATGTAACACCTGGTTGTTATTATCTGTAGGCAAAAGCATTCATCCCTATGGCTTTCAGTTTAGTAGGAAGACCTGTTCATTATAAAACACAGCCCTGACTTTATGTCCAGGAAAAAAAAACACTCTACCCATTGTACAGATGGACAAACAATGGGTTAAGTGACTCCCTTAAGGTTCCACAATGAGTCTGACAGATTGTCTGCCTAAGATATTAGTAAGGCCCCTGTCACCATAGCAGCCAGCTAGACAACTAACCTCACAATTGATGTTTTTATAATCCTCCTGGGTTGGATGAGCTCTAGGGTAATATTAAGGAAAAACAAAAATTAAGAATCTCAGAATAATGGGAGTAATTGTCCAGGTTCTTGCCTCAGCATTTTATGTGTGTAACAAGATTTTCTCAACAATTCTTTTCTATTAATGCTCAATAATAGGGGCCTGGATGATTGAAGAGACTGAAAACAGCCAACAGAGAAGCCTTTTACACTAACTACAACATTTGTTTCTATATTTGACTGGGTGCACCATATTGGTAAGCCATGATTTGTTTAATAAGCTACAATTGATGACTTTACACATCAAGTTAAGGCATAAGACAAGATTTATGAGCCATTGTAGTTGGGTTTATTTGTGTTCACATGTTAAGCCAAATAAAGCAAACCATGTATTGTATAATTATTCTTCCCCAAAGCCTGTATAAAGGATCCATAGCATAGTAAGATAGTACTCAAATTACAATCATAATGGAGACAGCCCATTATTGTTGTAAATTGTAATGGTTATAAAATGGATGATCACATGACTGATCTGATTTTACAATGTTTGTTAGGCGAACCCATTGTTCACTGTGGCATGATTTTTATGAAAACTGAAAATAAGTGTTGGTTTTCACAAAACCATCATAAAACACGATGAAACCATAGAATGCTGCAAATGGTCATAAATGTGGCCCTCCTGCTGTGCGCTCAAACTGCAGTCACGTAACTGTGAAGGGTAAAATTGTCAGAGCTTCAGATCTGGGTCGTGAGTCCCCTTTTTCCGGTAGGTCATAGCTTCAAAAGGTCACTAAGCAATTGGTCATAAGTCGAGGACTATTTATACAATGTATAGAGCAAAGAGAAATGGGGGAAGTTAACAATTAATGGAAGAGCAGACTTTTGTGAAAAGAATTACAAGATTGAACTATTTCAGATGGAAGACTAGAGCTCTTGTTTAGGAATCTGAGAGAAGTTAAAAAAAAGTACACTTGCTAAAGAAAGAGCTAATTCAAAAGAATGGGGTGAGTGGGATGTCCCATAAAGGGATGCATTGTTTCTTTGCCTTTCTTTCACATTAGTTTTTATTTACACTATCCTTTATTGGAGTATTAGAATCTGTGAATTACACCAACGTTTCTCAGTGTTGGCAACCTTAAGATGTGGGGATTTCAGCATCCACAGACCTCCAGGCTTTGTGGGAACTGATGTCCACACGTCTTAAAGTTTCCAGGCTGAAAGATGCTGGGCTAGACTGAAGGAAGAATTGAGTGGAGAAAGGAATGTGTATATAAGTCATTAAAATGGCAAAGCTGTGGCTTTCATCATGTTAAGATATTTGTATAGGCTACTTAAAAACATAATGGTTCTGTTGGATCAAGTCATAGTCCCATCTGGAGCAGCATTCTGCATTTACAATGCTGGATGCCTTTGGGAAGCTCATAAGCCTGGCGATGTGGGCAATAGTTCCCCCCCACATTCACATCCTAGCATTCACTGTTTAAGGTATTCAGAAAAAAAATACACAACCCTCAGTAACCATTGATAACCTAATTATACTATGCATGAATTTGTCCAGTCCTTTTTTAAAACCATTCAAAGTGGCAGCAATTTCCACAGTTTAACTACTATATGCATTCTATGAATTTTCCTCTCTTGGCCCTCATGCTTCACTATTGGGATGGTATAGGGCAGGTGATAAGTGGTGCCTAGTTTCCTCTAGACCAGGCATGTCAAACTGCTGGCCCAAGGGCTGGATGCATCACACCGAAACTGCACCCACCCCATTGCCGGAAAAGTCGCAATACATCGCGTGACATCACGTGACAGTGCAAGTTTGACATGCCTGCTCTAGACATAATGTTTAGTGTTGAGGCCAAATAGCTCAATTTTAGTTTCATCAGATCAGAAAATCTTGTTTCTCACAGTCTGAGAATCCTTCAGGTGTTTTTTTTCCAAACTGCAAGTGGGCTTTCATGTGTTTTGCACTGAGGCTTCTGTCTAGCCAATCTGCCATACATCTTAGATTGGTGGAGGGCTGTAGTGATGGTTGTCCCATCTCCACACCGGATCCCTGAAACTCAGAGTGATCATTGGGTTCTTGATCACCTCTCTTGCTAAGGCCCTTCTCCCCAGATTGTTCAATTTAACCAGTTGACCAGCTCTTGGTTGTGTCAAACTTCTTCCATTTAAGAATTATGGAGGCCATTGTGCTTTTAGGAACCTTCAGTGCAGCAAAAAAATTATTGTAGCCTTCGCCAGATCTGTGCCTTGCAATACTCCTGTCTCTGAGCTCTGCAGGCAGTTCCTTTGACCTCATGGCTTTTGCTCTACTAAAGTATGCATCGTCAGCTGGGAGGCTTTCTATAGAGAGGTATGTGCATTTCCAAATCATGTTCAATCAATTTAATTTACCTATTTCATGTGCAAACCCAATTAGACCGGTAGCTTCAATGCATGGTTGTGTTGGGAAGAGCAGTTTAGATTTCTGAGGTATTCAAATACCCTCACATCCCTCCTTGTAGTTGTTAGATTTTATTAAAATAATCACTCAAATTCTTTAAATTATTTACTTATTTAATCTCCAACTTGTCTGACTGTGTAAAAACATGTAGCAACTGGTAAAGTTATTTTTAGCAGCTGCCATTTCTGGAATACCTCATATGATTTTTATTGAATGTTTCTTTCATAACAGGTTCACCACTGATGAACAGACCAGTTATCTGAGTAAAAAGAAGGGTGGTCAATCTACATTCATTAGTTGCTGTGCCTTCTGAATCCACACTATTATGAAACTGAGTGGCTTTCCTCCAGAGGACCAGTTCTTGAAATTGCTTGTAGAAAAGCTCCAAAGACAGTGAAGACGTCTGATGTGCAAAATAGGACCTTCTTCTTATATGCCAGGTATTCTTTGACAAAGAAATATCACTTCTTCAATGTCACTTCTTCCTCTTCTATCCCCTTATATATATATATAAAAAAAACACCAGGTTACACTAGGCACATTAGATTACCCAGTAATAACTCAGTTCCAACATCCTCTATGCAGTACAAATGGTGGCAAAGGCAACCATTTATACCTCATATCTTTTGAATAAGAGCCTCTGATTTTGTTTTGAATAATAATGTGGTTAAAATTGGAGCTGGCTGTAAGCATAGCTGCTTTCATCTGGGATATACACCTCTCCCGAAACCACCAGCAGCAGCTCGTTGAGCCATCCAAACAACCACCTTCATTTCAGGACAAATGATTTTTTTCCATTGCAAACTTAGTTCAGAAGGAAAGAACAGTTACATTAAATTCTAAACTGTAGTTGAGTAAGGAGGAGTTCAGGGGCAAACTCTAGGGGTTGACAACTGTCACCAAATATTCTGAATAATGAAACAGAAATAGGAAGCACATTTACTAGCCTCAATATTTCTGCAAAAACTGTCCAAGTAAACAACATAAGCACAACTTAAGAAGCAGGTTTGGATGGCTTATCCAATTTACCTGCCTGGTGCTCAATCACAAGTCAACAGGAAAGTGGTGTTAATGCCAGTCACATGGACCACTAGTGCAGTGGCCCCTTGGAAATTCAGCCAGGAACAAAACAATCGCCACCGAGTTGCCCAGCATGAACATATTTAGGTTGATGCACACGTCAAACCCAGCCTACAGTATCCCCTGCAGCAGCCATGTTTTAAGATGAGAGAGGATAAAAATGTAGTAAGAAATTCACAAATGACAATTTTTGTTAATATGGATTACATCAAAAAGACTGAAAGCTATTCAGCCATAATCTCGGCCCAAATGGGACCCTTTCAAGGAGGGCTTGTTATGAAACCATCTTTGCTTTATTAACCAATGTTGATTTCATAATCAGGATTCTGTCCCAATCAGTATTTGTGTAATATCAGTTTCTATAGAAACTCTGGTTTCTTGGGGAATCAAGAGTTTACAGGCCAATAAACCAACTGGATGATTTAGATCAGTGGTAGCGAACCTGTGGCACGCATACCAGAGGCGGCACTTTGTGGGCCTGTGGGCCATGCCCCGGAGATGGCAACTATCCCTCTTCAACCAGCTGCCTGCTAACTCGCCGAGGTCCCATGTGGCAGGATGCATCCCAGCATGGCTGATTTCCCTCCTCCCCATCCCATCCCTCCTGGCCTCGCATGCTCTCCTTTTCCCGGGCACAACCCACTTCATTGCCTGCTCAGCTGTCAGCCGGCCGTCCAGCTCAAAGGCGGCTTCTCTGAACTGTTGGTGGCAGGCTGCAGAGCCCCAGAGTGTGCTGTTCGAGAGGCTGGCAGGCTGTGGCTACTGACAGACAGTCAGCCCCCATGCGCTCGCTGGCCTCTGTGTGCGGGGGCCGATGGTGTCAGGCAGCAGCTGCCCTGGCCCCTGCCTCGCCTTGCCCTGTGACAATGGCACTCCCACCCTGCCTCACCTCACCCCACAGGACAATCGTCTTACCCACCACCCCATCTGCCAGAGACCCCCCTGGATCTCCCCTAACACCACCTAGCCCCCACAGCCATCCCTCCCCATGAGCAACATCAAGGTGACCACACCTACCTTGGCCACACCCACCCAGTCTGCCATGACCACCACAGTCATGCCCATCCAGTGGGTCACGCCCACCTGGCACCCAACAATAAGTGGATTTTGGGTTGCAGTTTGGGCAGTCTCTAAAAGGTTTGGCATCACTGCCCTAGATTTGTTTAACAGATATATAGCTGCCCATCTCACTGAAATCACTCTTGGTGAGGGCTTTTTTTGTCATAGAATGCTCAGAACGGAGTTCCCGCATCTTTTTTGGATGGAACCTTGTAGGGTAGGCAAGGTGGATTATATGACATGTGTGAGTTCCGGCACTTTTTTTTTTTTTTAACAAAAAAAGCAGTGTGCAATCAATAGTCAAAAAATATCACAACTATTGAAACACTTACAAATATAAAAACAATATATTTTTATTTCACACATATGTGTACATAATTAAAAAGAAAAGATTGCCAGCTAGTTCTTCAGTGGTAGTAGGAAGTCAAACGTCTCCCTACAAGAAACCACTCCTCGCAATCAAAGCTTACAAAATGAATTCTTCCGCGCCGACGCAAGCAAAAAAATAAGAAAGAATTAAAGAGAATTGCGCGCGCCTGCGCTTGAGCAAAGGCATGAGCCTCTCTGGTGCTCTTAGCCCAATGCGCCCGCCTTTCACCTAACCAATCAGGAAACCGCAGGCTGCCTCCCCAAGAGTCTGCCAGGGAAAGCGCTGCGCAGGTCTCTCCGACGGCCGCGCGCGCTTCTCGATGACGCCGCCGCTGCTTCTCCAATCCCGGAGATTCGGGTGGCTGCGCTCGTGCTAGCGTGTTTCGGGAAATCCGGACGCCTCACCTCGTGAATGTATTTATGGATGCATCGGGCGCAGAAGTAGCAAGCGTGCTTATGGCTAGAGTGAGGAGGTGAGGGGGGGGGCGCGCAGGTGGGTCAAGGGCCTTGAGCGCGAAGAAGCCTGTCATCGGGCCTTGAGCGGAGATCGTCTGAGGCAAGACCGAAACGTGAAGATTGGGCGGGGGGCACAGTGTGTAATTTATATTGGGGTAGAGTACTTGCCGTGCTCCTGTCCTGGGGACCGGAGGAGAGCCCTGTTGGTTATAAATCCAGTTTTCTAGAGTGATAAATGTCTTCAGGAAGCCTGCAAGTGAGGTATAAAAGGTAACAACCTACCTTCAGTGTTCGTCTCCAGCACCTGGAATTCAGGATATGCTGCTACTAACCCGAAGTAATTAATTGAACAGTTACAATTAATAGCCATTCTTGAACTTGTATGCAAGATGGTATGATGCAACAGTGACCAATAGTTTAGCCTAAACAGTAGGTGCATGTCTGTCTTTCAGCATATACTTAAAAAAAGAAAAAAATGCCCTTTTGCGTCTCATACCTTCTAAAAAAGCTAAATTATACCCGATCTAAAGCAATTTCCCCCAGTTGAATACCCTCTCAAAGTGCTCTCAGCATTTTGTCTGGAATTATGAAAATTATTGGGAATTTTTAAGACTACGGTAGATGCTTGGTTACAAAATGGTAAAGAAAGGGCATTGTTTTTTCTGTTAGTCTCCTTAGCAGTTTTGGACCCTTGCCCCTTAAAAAAATAAGGATTGAAGGATTTCCCCCACCACCACCTTTGTAAAAGTAGATGCTGAAGCAAGTTTCAGGATACAGCAGAATAATAGAATAACAAGAGTTCGAAAGGACCATGGAGGTCTTATAGTCCAATCCCCTGTTCAAGCAGGAGATCCTAGATCAGTGATAGCGAACCTTTTAGAGATCGAGTACCCAAACTACAACCCAAAACCCACTTATGTATGGTTGGGTGCCAGGTGGGCATGGCCCATTTGTTGAGTGTGGCCCATTGGGTGAGTGTGGCCAATTGGGTGGGTGTGACCAATTGGGTGGGCATGGCTGCCATGGTAACGGCAGACTGGATGGGACTAAAAAGTTCAATCAATCATTCCAACTTTGTGAGATCTTTTTTTTTCCCCGCGAGAAGTTGAAATTGATTGATTGAATCTTTTTGTTTGCACACGGGCACGGAGGCCTAAAGCGAGAAGGTTTTATAAAACTCAGCTGAAGGCCTAGGACTGGGGCGATGGCGGGTGTGCCCACAGAGAGGGCTCTACGTGCCACCTGTGGCACGCGTGCCAAAGGTTCGCCACCACAGTCCTAGATCATTTCAGACAGATGATTGTCCAATCTGTTCTTGAAAGTGATGGAGCACCCACAACTTCTGAAGGGAAGCCGTTCCACTGATCAAATATTCTGTCAAGAAATTTCTTCTTATTTCTAGGTTGGTTGGCTCTCCCTGCAAGGCAATTAATATACTTATGTGATACTTTGTTGATATTCAAGTGGATTTCTCTCCACTAAAATCATTGCATTGGCTATCTAATGCAGGCTTTTAAAACATTCTTTTCTTTGCCTGATATGGTATAGCAGGCATGTCAATCTCGCGAAGTCACGTGACATCGCGCAACGTATTGGGCCAGTTTTGCCATTGCCGGCAATCGGGTGGGCACAGCTTCCACGTGACCCATTCTTCCCGCTTGTGAAGGGGGTTGGACTAAAATATCTCCACAGTCCTTTTCAAATCTGTTATTCTGTTATTCATGCATAAAAATAGCCAGCATCCTTTGCAAGAAGGCAAACACTTATGAGCATGAAGTGGTCATAATTAAATTCACTTTATCAACCAATACCCTCCATATGTGGTAAAGTTGTAGATTAACTAATCTGGAGGAGACCAGCTAGCAAAGGATAACTTACAGTATATTTGCCACACCTATTCTGATGCAAAAGAAAAGAGGAGCAATATATCATCTAAGAAATATATATATATGTGATATACAAAGTAAAAATTAAGATATAAGTGTCTAGAATTGGGAAGAGCATCTGACTGCATTCCTGTTCTGCGATATTGATGTATGACCTTGACTTTTATAACCAAGAATGAAATGTATGACTTTAAAGCTGACAGTGATATATATGTGATCGTATCACAAGATATTTGGAGGTCAAGACCACAGAAATATGCTTTAGTTGGAATAGAAGCTAGGATGCCAGTAAGAGAAGGAGGGAAAGATCAGTCTGTGCACAATTAGACCTTGAACCATGACCATACAATAAATGTTTAATTGTTTTGAATAATATATTCATATACTTTTTATTACAAATGATTTCTAAAATTTTTCTTTCCAGATTGCTAATTTTCATGCAATTATTAAGAATTATAGAGATAACTCTGAAGTAGTACAAAAGCTTTTCCTGAAGAAACTTGCTTGAAAAAGAGTATTTGCATGTTAGAAGGGACTGGAGTGGGAGTATTTGTAAATATATATGAAGAACAAACTCTAGTTGCATTTTTAAATAACTCGATACGTGTTTGCAAACTTCCAAGCCTAACTGTTTATTCTTTAGGATAGGTCCATGAAATTTTATTGCTGGCCCAGCCTCAAGAAATCTGACTGAAATTTGGAATGTATTGTGATATGAAGAGGTCTTATTTTAAGTAAAGCAAATATGAACTATTACCTTTCCCCCTTTCTCTACTTGTTTATGCAACCTGGAATTCCAGGTGAAAACAAGTTTAGCTATTAAAGCACTAGGTCATGCCGAATTAATTTTTGACTTTGGCTTTAATTATCGTAGTTTTTCCTAGAAAAGCTAGAGAAATGGAGTTTGATCACTATATCGAGGATTTTGATCAGAAGGCCTCTTTCATTCATCTCATAGCTACTCTTTCAAGTTTTTCTTGGAGGGGAGGGTAACTAGAGCACAGGTGGCATAACCACTCTTACTCAGGGAGTAATAGTGTAATACAACTCTACATTGTCTTTGGCATAGTTGATCAATGTTGGGTTTAAATATTTTTTTACCAATTGAGTTGGAGCTTCTGTCCAAAAATATAAATTTACCTTACTATATAGAAAAAGAAAACCATATATTAGAGTATAGTTGTAAGCAGTTTCTGTCAGCAATAGGTTTTACTAAGCCATAATTTATGATTTTATCACATTGAGTAAATCCAGTCATTATGGCTATAAACCATGGAATATGAGTTAGCATGTTATATGAATCCAATCCATGGTGTTTGTTCAGTTAATCATAATTAACAATCCATAGTTTAGTTTATGACAGCCATACCCATTTAATGATATATATCAATACGCATTTTAATATGGAGATTATATATATATACATTTTTGCCTGATATGCAGTCTTTTATGCAAGTTGTCATTATCATTCCTTTATGCTGAAAAGTAGTTAACCACTTTGCCTGTTTGTAGTCAATAAAAAACAGGAAATTTGTTTTTTGTTTTTTTGTTTGCTAGCAGATTGCAGCAGAAGAGAGATTAAATGATGAAAGTTAAAGCTATCTAAGTCAGTTATATGACAATCAGCCCAACCTGTTCTTCTCAATGAATTTATTTCTATGCAGAAACTTGGTTTATGTTAAACCATGTTTGTTTATGGGGTTTGGGTTCTGCAGCATGCTAAACCAAGAAACGTATCATGAAAGTTTGTCAACTGAAGCATAAGCAATTAGTATATTATACTTGAAAATCCAAAGTTGAACATCCAACAATTGAAATAAGTTGTGCTTGAAAGGGTAACATGAAGAGGGCACTTGTCTATAAAATCACCAAAGGTCAGACACAACTAAATGGTTAAAATAATACTTGGAAATCTATATTATGGACCATGCATGCAATGGGGAAAGCCCATTGATATCTTAGAAATAATCACAGGCCACAGAGGAGTAGTTGGTGTGCTGGTCAGCTAGTGGCCTGGTGCAGCAGCAGCAGCAGTGGAGCTTGGTGACTCATAGGAGATGGCTGTGAATAAGTAGGCAGCAGCAAATCCTTCCTAAAGGCACTGTTGGATGGCAGTCGATTTGTTAATGGATTCAAAGTAGCTGACAGGACACACAGGGCTGCTTGGTGGACCACATGTTGTGAAGGCCTGTTATAGATTATTATGGGATTATAGCAACAAACTTTATAATTTCTCATAGGATTATTATGGACTGGGTTTTGACATACAATTTTGTTGATAGACTTCACTGAAAACCTCTCAAAGCCATGTGCCTCTTGTTCCTCTTCCTAGATATGGGCAGTAGAAATGGGTGACAAGCAGTGTGGGGATTGTGCTACTTGATGCCACTTTAATCTCTCTGGAATTCTGTTATCAAGGTTCAGCACAAACATACAGCTAACTGAAAGTGATAGGGACTATTGAGGCTTAACATCTGAGGAGAATCAAGATGGAAGCTGTTTACCAAGCTCTTGAAATGTGATCACGTGATGACCAATCATAAGTTTGAGGACTGTTACAAGTACTGTAACTTTTTTTTGAATCCATCATAATTTTGAATAGTCATTAAGCAACCAGTCATGAATTGAGGACTACCTGCACTGAATATGGAATTGCTGCTTGTTTATGCATGGAGAACTGGTTTAATGCGGTGGTGTTGCATGTTTCTTTTACGTAACACTACATAAATACAGTAAGTGTGTGCCACGCAGATTAGGGGGAAAAAGGGATCCATGCTAAGGCAGTAAGTTAGACTGAAGCAGAATTATCCCACATGCTGCATTAGCATGGGAGAATATGATGGTAAAGTTCAGTTACAATAGCAGTAAGGCTAGCAAAAAGAGAGAAAAAAACAAGTATGTAAAATTATTGCATAACCTGTTTTAAAGAGTCACTATGTGAATAGCAAGAGATAAGAATTATAATCAGTCAAATGAACAATCTGGCAGTTGAGGAAAACAAAGTAAAGGTTGGATGACCTTGCCACATCAGAAATAAATACAAGAATGAAGTATAAATGCAGTCTTGTAATTACCATTGGGAATTTGTGACTGGATCTCTTTCTTTTCAAAATTCAGTGTTCTGCCCCACGCTGACTTGCTTCTCAGTTTTAATGGCTTTAAAGATAGAAGAGTCTATTAAGGACTGACCTCAGGCTGTGTTAGTGAAATGGTTTTCACGCTTATTATATGGAATTACTGTTAAGCATGTCTGTCTCTCCTATTTGCATTTTTAGCCACAAACACCTGATGCATACTTCTAAATATTTAATGGCTTATTCTGCAATCCAGCTATTTTTATTCAAAATAAAAATACCAGATGTTCCAAATAACCTAATAGTATTATTGTTGGAAGCTAGGCAAACGGAGCAGCTTTATTTAAAATAAAGTGAGGTGACGTATTACACTTTTATCCTGTGCTTTCTGCAAGTTGCTCAGACACTGCTGCTTATCGTTGTTAAGCTGGCATCATTATGCCATCTCCTGAGAGGCTAAATGTCTCAGAAGGGAGGCCTCTCCCATTTCTGTATCTGTGCAGATAATAGTCCTGTCAACTGAGAATGAATTCAAAAGAATATCTCCAGCGCATGATTGCTGCAAGTCTGTACTGAAATCTAAAGCTTTTGTGCAAGGGGGATGCACCAGTATTTTCTGAACCCATTTATATTATTCTTGTAAAGTAAAGTAAATACTTTCAATAAAGGAGAATATTTGTAGCTCAGGGTTAAAATGGGGGTCTTTGGTGCTCTCTGAGCTTGTTGCAGACGTTTCATTACCCATTCTAGTCTGACTAGCACTGATGATGATACTTAGTTTGGGTAATGAAACATTCTACAAGAAAACAACGAAGCTCAGAGAGCACCAAGGACCCCTGAGTAAACACATTCACTGTAATGCAAATGTCATGTTCATAACAAGGTAAAGCAAAATGTATTTTTGAAGATCATGGCTACAACCTCCATTTAATTTTGAAGCAAGACCCTGTAGATTTAAGTTACATTGCTTCTGAATAAATTTCTTACATTTCTTTTGAATAAATATGGACAAGATTGCTTTGACACTGATTAGAACAAAATGGGATACAATAGTTATTTTATTGTAATTGCCTATAACTCTTTATGAGACCCACATTCCTTGCATGTCCTGGTTTTTCTCTTGGTGGTACAGTCTTTTGCTTTCAGAAAGGCTTTAGCTTTTTTCCCAGGTTGTAGAAGACTATTTAATAAATTGTTTTCCTGTTTTTGCTTCTTTCATCCCTTGTTGTGATTATCCATCAGAGGTGGGAATCTTACAAACTGCACACGACTCCAGCATCCTGATATTGTATCTCTATATTGTGACAGCAAAAGGATTAAATTTCAGCACTATGATTTCAGCTGTGCTTTTTAGAATTTCAGGTAGTTCAGGCATCCACTAAAAAGGACCAAAAACGTTTAGCTACATCCTTTCAAATGATACTGCAAAATTGCTAAATAGCTTCCTAAGACCACTCAGAAGGTCAGAAAATGGAATGGCAATCTTGAATCCTCAAACTTTGGTCACACCTGCTTTCTATGTTAATGTAGGATTTTCTGAATGTCAATGGCTTAAATAATGCATCCCGATGCTTAGATATTTGAATTTCCAAATATCAGGTCAGGCCCAAGAACATAGAACATTTCAACCAACGTGTTCTTTATTTGCTTATATCCAATAGACAGAATCTTGCTAGACTGCGCTGTTTCTAGGAATGGCTATCCTAATTCTCTGTCTACAATTTAGCTCTGAGTTGTGTTGCCTCTTGTCTTGCCCCCCACCCCTTGAAATGTACTCCATCCTTCCTGGGAAACTGCCACTTCACTGTAATCCATCATACCACCTTCCCTTCTGTAGGCACCATCTCACACCAAAAATGATTCTGCTTTTATTGTTAGAAAATGTGGGCACAAGGATTTTGTGATTACAAATTTAAAGTGGCATTATCATTAAGAATATAATGCACTGATGTTGTATTCTATAGGAGCATGATGGCTCATGAGGTAAGGATGTTGGGTTGGATGTTAGCAAGCCTGCATTCAAAACCTGAGTGGAGTGCTGCTGTGGGGAAGGATGAGCTCCCATCCTTCACAACTCCTTGACGGAGACATGAAAGGAGCCCCAACTGGGTATCCCCCAGGCAATGATGATGTCACCCTGAAGTACCTCTGTGCTTCTGACACGAATGCGGTGTGATGTTGTATTTTGTATAGGTGAGCAGCACAATGTCTGAAAATTCGTCTGTGAAGCTGGCGGGCATCACTCCTCTACAGCAGATGTTGGCATCTGGAACTGGAGCCCTTTTCACCTCCCTTTTTGGTAGGTACATTGTTAACAACAGTATCATTTGAAATAATTTGAAATATGTGCATGCATGTAAAAAAATGTGTACGGGTAGTCCTCAGATTACAATAGCTCTTGGGACTGGGAATTCTGTTGCCAAACAACCCAGTGGTAAAGTGCAGTGTTACTTAGCAATGGCAATTTCAGCAGTCCTGGTTGCTATTTTTAAATGAGGACAATGCAGTTTGTTAAATGAGGACCTCATATGATCACAACTTCCTGCCATCTTCTCTTATTGATTTTGCTTGTGAGAAGGAAAGCAGAAAATATTGGAAATTGTGATCATGTGGCTGTGGCTCACTGCAACATCATACCTGTGAGCCAGGCACTGAGTTCCTAGGTTGTGATCATGTGATTGCAGAGATGCAGCACTGACTAGAAGACTGAGGACACACACATTCCTTAAGTCCCCCTTAAATTCAGTGTAGTCATAACTACAAGTGGTTTTGGGAACAAATAGATGTAACTCGAGGATTATCTGTAGTGACAAAAATATGCAGACTGAATTTCTTTGTGAGAATTGAATTATTCTGATAGTGTTCCTGATGTTTGCCCACATTTCTGTAACTTAGCCCTGCTGATCACCAAAGCCTAGATTCTTAGTGTTGTGACATAATAAAAGTAGCCAAGTGTTTAAACTATAGTGCAGAAGTGATCTGGATATTGTCAACTAATCCCTTAGTTACGTGGTTAGAATTATATAATTTGGCTTTAACATTGATTAATATAGTTGACCATTGCTTAGGGACCATTTTTTCAATTAAAATATTTATATAGATAATAGGAAGCTTATGGCTTGTTAAATAGTATTGGATTTCAATTCCTTTCATTATTAACCAATGTGGTTAATGTGTAGCATATTGAAAGTTGTGACTGAGCAATAGAGGGGCTATTGATTCCTTACTATTCCCATGTGATGTTTGGGAATTTGATTATTATATCATCTACTAAAGATAGATGGATGGATGGATGGACAGAGAGAGAGACAGATAGATAGATAGATAGATAGATAGATAGATAGATAGATAGATAGATAGATAGTTATAGATAGATAGATAACTTTTATTGTCATTTTTTTTACTGTGGGCACAATGGCATACATTAAAAATGAAATTTAGTTGCTTGCTCTCAAAGTGTACACATATTTAACACACATTTAAATATACTACATAAAACATATGTATAGACCTACACCCTTACATATAAATAACATAAATATTAATCATTGTCCATCTTGAATACATAACGAAAGGAGGAAGCTTTAGAGTTCACAAGTTTAATACAATATGGAACAAAACTGTGACTGAATCTGGATGTTCTGCTTCGGATACCACGAAGCCTCCTCCCAGACGGTAACAAGGAAAACAGGCCATGAAGAGGATGTGTAGTATCCCAGACAATGGTTAGGATTGTGTGGAAGGTTGTGGGATACATGAAACAACTATATGGATGAGAACGTACCTTTCATACAATAGGGAGACTGTAAATGCAGGCATATTCCTTACTTCTGACTTGAGATTTATACTTGAATCCAAGGAAGAGTTTGGGAGGAGCTTTATTTAATTTCCGAATTCTCTTTTCCATATTATTTATCCAGAAGATTCCTTCTTTTATTCTCCACTGTGAATGAATTTCATTAATGTAAACTTTATATTTTCTTATTTATTTTTTTAAAATTTCAAAAACATTACAGTTAGCATTAGATGCCTCAGTACTTTGTGATATTAAGTGTCTGTATAGTAATAGTGTGTAGTTAATTTTATGCGCACATGCATATACATATCATTATGAGAGATATATAAAACTATTAACAAAACTTTTTTCAACACTATAATTCAGATTTTAAACAATGAATTAAATGTAGACAGAATGGAATCATATTGTCTTTAACAACTATTATTGTATAGGTCACATGATAGCATATCAGTGGTTGGCAACCGGCTTGCATCTATGACCAGTTGCAGTCTCCAGTAGTCATGTGGTACCTCCACTCACGACTACTTGGTCTTCCATCTTCATATTCTTTGTCAGTATCTTTATTTCTTCTGTGTTTTAAATCCAGCCAACGTAACCAGATTCTCTTAGTTTTTCCATTAATACATCTATCCCTCCTAGAGGGCTCTCCAAATTTAGAACCAAATGATTGATGAGTGCCATTAGTTTACAGACTTCACAAAAGAATAACAATGAAGAAGAAGGTGCGTATCCTTGCTTCGTTCCTTTCTGTATTTTACGGACTTGGTCAATTCTTCATTCACAATTATCTGTGATTTTTATGAAGCATACATCGTTTTCACCCATGTAAATAAATTTTTGTTCAAAGTTCATCTCTTCCAAAATTTTAAACAGAAAAGTTTAAATTGTAAAAAAGCTTTTTCTGCATTAATAAACATCAAGGTAGCTTGTTTTTGTTGTGTTGCTCCAATTATTCTAATACATTAAGAACATTTCTAAATCTTTCTCTTAAATGTCCTTTAGAAGGCCCAGATATATCTAATCACTACTAGTGTGGGAAAAATAATCAAATACCTACTATTAGTACTAAGAAAACTTGCTAGATGGCAAGGATAATAGATAATAGTTCTCAGAGTGTGTCTCAGGATTACATATTCACTATTTGTTATATTTTAGTCCTTGATTGAATTTAACAAATAGGCCCAATTATATTATTTACAATCAAGAAAATTAAAACTGTTATAATTGTAAAAAATATATAAGGAGATCTTGGGTATATGTTCTATAAAAATTTAACAGTTATAGATAGTTCTCACTTAACTATCATTATTGCACCTGGAATTTTGGTCATAAGCGATTAGTTATTAGGCAGGTCACAATGTGAACTGACTGAATTTTACAACTGATTTTATGACACTTGTAAAGTGAGTCATCATGGTTGTTAAGCGAATCCATTCTCATGAATGGGTGTTTTTTCCCCCCAGTTGGACACTTGCAAAAAGTGATGCAAATTGTCATGTGATCATGGGACACTACAATTGCCTGTAAATGCAAAGTGGTTGCCAGCACCCAAAAATGCAGTCATATGATTATAGGGGAATGTGCAGCAGTAATAATTTCAAGGGCAGATTGTAACTTAAACAAGGATTGCCCATATCAGTTGTTTAAACATGTTTAAATAAAACAGCAAAGCATTGCTATCAGTTTCATAGTTTGATGTAAAATAAATTTTATGACATTAATTTTGCTGTCAAAAGTATTTTCTCTTAATATCCTCCTTCATCTGGATAATACATTTCGAAATGTTACTGTCAATCAAACTGAGAACCTTGTTAAGAATAATATTTAATAATAGTTAAATTAATAGTTAAATAGTCTATTGCAAAAGGAAGCTTTACTTGATGTCTTGTAACAATACTTTTAACACCATCAAACAACATCTGCTCTCCGAGGTCCTTAGGAAGGATTCAGTAGGTGGGTAAAAACATCAAATCCAGTCTAAACATCTGGCTGACCATGTAATTAATATAATAAGTTCTTCAAATATTGAAAATCTACCTCTTTTCTCTATTGCTTCTTTCCAATTACCATAATATTTACTTAGTCCAGTTTAAATAGTATATTTTGTAGTTTTTTCTTGCTTAAATATAAATATGTTTTTCTGTGAAACATTTCCTGTTGAATCTACAAATATATGCCCAAACTGTCAAAATTTCCAATTAGATTGATATACCATTGAAATAATGAAACATGTATTTCCCCAAGGCAGTATTCCTGGAGGTCTTCCTCATTTTCCTCCCTCTGTTTGGTTTTCAATATTTTAAACAAAACAAAAAATAAAGACATATGCATGTATAGTGAGTGGGATTCATTTAGATATAAAGCTGGGCCAACCAATGGTATGAGTCCCGTAAAAAAATAGGTGATTAAAATTATTGCAAATATCCCCAAATCTTACAAGAACTAACCAGATTTGTACAATATCTATAATGGTTGAAATTCTGCAAAGTGTGGTGATATTGTAAGATATTTACTGTTTTTAATGTTTTTAACTTCGTTGCAAACTGCATTTTGGAATACCATGAATATCTCATTAGTGTGTCCTAATACTGTATAAAGGGAACTTTTTCTCTGGCCTGTTGACTGATATGTTTCTGTGGAGTTCTTCTGCGAGGGGAAGGGGAATGATGGCCCTTTTATGACTTGTGGACTTCAACTCCCAGAATTCTCGAGCCAGCCAGTCCCCAAGTCATAAAGGGGACATTGTTCCTCACCTCTGGACTAGGCAATTAACCAAACTGTATTCTATAAAAAGCAGAACAAGAAGCACCATGCCATTTTTCTGTTCAATTTAGTTTCAACTGTATAATCACCAAGAATATTTAAATAAGCTCTTTGTTTATTAATTTAGTATTAGTGTGTATAAATATGGAAAGCATGAAAAAATACAACAAAATGCAACTCAGCATACCTCCAATGAGCATTCCAACAACATAGGGTTGAGTGAGTTTTTGTCATTCACATTACTGACTCAATGAAGTTTGTTTCTATATTTTACTCATGTATGAGTTGAATTGGATGATAAATCTTACTATGTGCTATGATACCTGCAGTTTTTTTGCCAAATTCCAATGTAGTAGGTACTTCCTTTAGTACAAAAGGTATACCTTGTTTCTTTTTTTATTAAGTAAACTTATTTCAGCAGAAGTGTGGCTAAATAGTATTTACAAAGCTCGGAAGATAAGTTGCTACACTTTTTAATATTACATAGAGGATTAGAGGCATTACAGTATGTGAGTATTCTTCCTATTTACTGTTTGTTTTTCTCCTCTCGCCATTGTACTTTTGTGGGTAGCAAGAGAAAAGAAGGATAATTTTTGCAATATTGTCATTGTAGTAGATCACCCTTCTCCAAATTATTTTCCTTCAATGTCGGAATTCCTCATCTTTGACTATGTTGGCTGGAAATTCTATGGTACATCCAAAGAGGACCAGACTGGAAAAAAGCCGTATCACATCCATAGGCTTTACAGAGATGTTATGAAGGACTGTATCATTTAAAACTTCTTTTCCAATATAAACCCCACTTGGTCCTGAACAATACATTTATTCAGTGCTTTGACATGCTATATTGCTTAAGTTTCACATAATCAACCATTTCAATACTGTGTTTTCAGTCACACCTTTGGATGTAGTGAAAATCCGATTGCAGGCTCAGAGAACTCCATTCTCTAAAGGTAAGTAATTACTCCTTGATTACAGAAGGAAAAAAAATATGTTATTGTGGAAGTATTCTAACCTACAGAGACTCACTCATGTTCAGGACAAACATACCCTGCAAGCATTTGTAGCAATTTAGAGTTTAGGTTGTATTGTATATTTATATGATCTCTCAACCCATCAGAAGTGCTATATAGAATCAGATGAATAACCTGTCCAGTCCAATATACTTTTCTTATGGTTATCAGCAGACTTGTTTGGAAAATCATAAGCAGGTTCATCAGTAGCAAACTCTCAGCAATTACCTGCTCAGGGAGGTATTTTGGCATTATACATGACTACAATATAATAATTGGCTGCTTTTCTCTCTGCAAATTTGTCTAATCCAAGTTGATTACTATCACTGAAGCAAATGGTTTAATTATCATTTTGTCTTTTTAAAAAAATTCTCTCCCTATTCTCTTGCTTGGAAAAGCTTTCTGTGCTTTAAAAGATCAGCACTTTCTTGTTATATTAGCTTTTTTATATGGGCTGCATTTAGATTCTGAAATCATATTGTGCAAGACAACTGTACTAACTGCATTTTTTGGATTTGAAGACTAACTTTCAAGAAAGGCACCACTAGTGTATAAATGGAGCTAGCTGACTTGGGGGAAGTGTATTTTTTATTGCAGGGGATCATGGTGAGCAGATTTATAATTTTTATCTCCAGTTTATATTTTTATCCAGGCTTGGATATTGTTTAAACCTTTCTATAACTAAGACATTATTTTCTTGTACATATCTTTCTTCAGAGTGGTGTCCATTTGCTGGAAGATTTATAGAGGTTTTCAGTTCTTAATCAGGCATGGGTCACACATTTTCAAACTTATCACCATAAGCCACAGTATTTAGACGTGTGTTTAAAAAGAAGAAACTTAGCTGGATGGACTCATCAGCATCTGTATTTTTTCTGCAATCAAAAAGAAAAGGAGAAACACCTAATATAATAAATTACCTAGCGGTTTTTCATTCCTCCTGCTCCGGCTGAAGCTCCTGAAGAACAATCCCTATAGGCAACTGTTTCTCCTTCCTAATCCCAATTGTCATTAAGTGTGTCCATGTTGTTTCTTTCAGTGTTGTCAGTACAGTCTATGCCCTGGAGCATTCACCAGCCCAAATGTGAGTATTTCAGGTGCTTTCCCATCTAAGGTGCCATGATCACCTCTCCAGCTCTTTTCCTGTTCTCACTCCCAAAGGAGTGTTATAGGTTCTTAGTCCTTCCCCTCCTTCCTCACTTATGTAGGAGAAAATGTTCATGTTCTTTATTCCTTGAGAAATTTGCATTCATTTGTCTGCAGTAGAAAATAAATGACAATGCAGTTTTACTGATTTTGTTCCCTAATGTTTAGGACTACAATCCCAATACTCACTTAAGTTATTAACGGTGATGGCTTGATGTTTGATAATAGGAAGGCATTATTGCAATGTATCAACTGGATGGAAAATCAAGAGGTTTTTGATATGAACCCTGGTTCTGCTGAAAATTACAAAGTGGTCTTAGGCGAGCTACTTTAGTAGACTTGGATCCCATAACTCTAAGATTTTAGAGGCAAAGATAATCGTATCCTACTAAATGGAATTATTGTAAGGAACTATGAGACATTTATACATACCAACATACACACATGGATCAATCACGATAATATGTTGTTAAAATAATAGTGGAAACCAGGGTTCCGTATTTAGTTTAACTCTTAGCTGGTTAAACCTCCAAATGATATATTACAGATAGTCTTTGATTTACAATTATTATTTTAATAACCATTTGAAGTTACAACAGCAGTGAAAAAAGTGACATGACTGTTTTTCACATGACTGTTACAGGACCCCCTTGATCTTGGATGTTTGGCAGTGCCCTGAGGTCATGTGATTGCCTTTTGTTATCTGATAAGCAAAGTCAATGGGGAAGCCAGATTCACTTAAGAACCATGTGGCTAGCTTAATAACACAGTGATTCACTAAAGAATTGTGGCAAAAAAGGTTGTAAAATGGGGCAAAATTCACTTATTCTTGCTTATCAAATGGGAAATTTGGGCTCAATTATGATTTTAAGTTGAGGACTACCCGTATATGAGCTGTGGTGGCATAGTGGTCAGAATACAGTATTGCAGGCTGACTGCCCACTGCCCTGAGTTCGATCCTTTTTTTAAAAAAAATATTTTATTGGTTTTATAATTTTAACAAAAAGTGTTTGAGACACACCGTGGTGTTTGGGTAAATAAAGATTTCAACATAAAATCACAGAATAACAGCTCAACTTAATACATTCGCTATCATCTCTCTATTTCCCTTAAATAACATAATAAATTTAATATATTTCATTTCTATCCTAAATTTCTATTACTACTAAACCTGTTTATTAAAAGTTTATCAATTTCAATTACCATCATCAAATAATGTTTTACACCAACATATTACCACTTTAAATATCTCTTGCAAATATATTCAAGTTCTTAATCTCTCTCATCCCCTTTTTATCACCAGTCTTATTTATTTCTTCTTCCAATAATAGCTAATTTAGTTAAAAAGACAATATTATCATATCTTATCAAATCTTATTATTATACACAAATATCTCTTAATTAATTAAACATTACACATATGTATAGTTATAATTTTCTTACTTCTAAATCTAGATCATTATCTCTAACCTTTCAGCCAGTAGTTGCTTATCGTAATCATTGACTTAATTCATTTCCATTCATTAAACAAACCAAATTCCATCCATTTAGTTACCATATCAAAATATATTATTATACACAAAAATCTCCAATTAATTAAACATTTCAAAATTCCAGTCTAAATCAATCTATTACTCCAAGAAATGCATTCTTAGTCTCTGTAAAGCCAAGTTTCTTTTTTCATTCCACACTAATTCCATACCAAACTTCCATAAAACAAAAAAGTTATCAAACTAAATTAAACACACATGAATATAGTTGAAAAACAATCCATAGAACCAACATTGCCTTTTAATCCATTCAACACTTTTTACTAATTTAAACACGCATGTGTATAATTGCATTTTTCAGCTCTAAATCATTATCTTTAAAACAATCATGAAATCAACATTGCCTTTTACTCCATTAAACATTTTTGAATTTGTTTTTGAATTTAATTCTGGGCTTTCTCTGCCACACCAGCTTCCATGAAGACGCTTCCCTTTCAACCAGTAAATCCATTCTCGATGCTTGTAGTAATCTTTGAGCAAATGTATCTCCCTTTCTCTGTAGTGAGCATCTTTTTTCTCTTTCAACCAATAGATCAATTCTTATTGTTTGTAATAATCTTTGAGAGAGTATAAATCTCTTCCTCCTGAGTTTGATCCTGATTGGCTCAAGGTTGACTCAGCCTTCCATCTTTCTGAGATCAATAAAATGAGGACCCAGATTGTTATGGGCAATATGCTGACTCTGTAAACTGCTTAGTGCTGTAAAGCAGAATTCCTCAAGCTTTCCGAGTTGGCAGCCCTGGGGGGGGGGGAGAAAGAGAGGGTGGTTTTGTGGGAGGGAGAGGCGCACGCATGAGCACCTGTTGCTTGTGTAAGTGGGGCTGCGAACACCCATGACACTTGCACGAGTGGGGCCCCGAATGCCCGCAATGTTTGTGCCATTGGGGCCTGAGCCCCCGCAACACGTGAGGGACTGTGCACACCAGCGCACCAGCCAGGCACTCACATGGCCCAGTTGCAAATAGGCCACAGACTGGTAGTGGGCTGTGGCCCACACTTTGAGGATCCCTGCTGTAAAGCTCTACAAAGCAGTATATAAGTCTTAACTGCTATTGCTGCTATTATCAAAAACAAAAGTGAAAAAAATAATGAAGGAAAAGTAAACTTGAGTGCAAGATCTGAATTAGAAAGCTCAATGTGTAGTGATTGATAAGGTCGTGAAGGTTAGTGAAAAGATTCCAACTTTATCTAGTAATCTCAGCAATGGCATAATTGGAACAGCCATTGTGTCAGAGCTGTTAACTGCGCAGTTGAAGGTTGCTGACTACTTTGTCTGTCTCTTAAGATCTCAGCAAGATCAGTTATTATAAGTTAATATCTATAGCGTGGGTGTTCAACTTTTTGGCTTGCCTTGGCCACATTGAGGGGGAAGGAATTGTCTTGGACCACATATAAAATTACATAATATAGTTAATGGGTATAAATCACATAATAAAAGTTAAAAGTTTATGAACTTGTGGGGCCACATTACTAGCTGTACAGGGTCGCATGTGGCCCATGGCCATGGGTTAGATGTGTGATCTGTAGGGAGTGAAAGTGGGAGAAAAGAGTCATCCAATACGCAAAATATATGCAATATAGCCGGCAGGAAAGGGAATAGCTTCTTTGAAAATTCTCATTAAATGAAAATCTTGCAGTTAGGTACCATATTGTAAGAAAGGGTTTACTCCAAAACTTTCTGATTCCTCATCTAATTCCTAATTTAAGAAAAAGTATTTTTCAGCCTTGAATCAGGTTATATGTGATTCTGATATTAATTTCAGATATAAGAGATCAGTTAAAAATGTCTGGTAGAAGAAATCTATCCCTTTAGTTGGCAAAGAAGAGAGATTAAAAATGTATACTTCAGCCCTGTTGTTCTTCAGCCTCCAATAGGTTACCCTGAGGGAATGTCTCCTTCCCCTGTAGTAATTTAAGAGCTTAGCAGTTTATTTTACTGGGTGTAATCTAAGCAGTAGAATCTGCATAGATTCTCTAATCCTATATACAGTAAACTAGGACTTTTTAATTTCTAAGGCACCAAAGTAGAGTCTTCCTTTATCTATTCTTCTGAGTAGAAGATTTGTAGCTTCTTCTCTTCCTTGATGCAATTCCTTAATGTAAGAGTCATGTGATTGGATCAGTATGCATTTTGCATTCAATATCTTCCTGCAAATTTACATTCTCTGATCAGAAATAATTATGCCAAATATCTTCCCAAATGTTAAGATTTTGCTCAGAAAAATCTTGCTCCGTGATCTGACATTTTAGAGATTTAATTTTTACTTTCTTCTTTCATTTTCATTGCCAATATAGGAAAGGGAAACACTATAGAAATGTTTATGTTTTATTTTGTAATCAGGTAAGCTAGAATGCTTTAATGAAAAGCTGAGTCTCTTGTATAGACAGAACTAATAGTCAAGTAGCACAGAAAGCATTCATCACTGCATGTAGTGATAATGGGTAATTATTTCTTCCCTTTTCCATCTCCCAGCCAATGAAGTTCACAGGCATTTAACTAAACATGCATATTTCTCTTCATTTTTCTTTCAGTAAATCATGATTGTTCTCACTAACTTGTTAGACTTCCATCCAATCTGGGTTTTTAATTTTAAAAAGCTGTGGTTTGGCTTGCTTGGTGTGTTGTTTACCTTCAGAGAATTGGTGATTTTTCATGGGAATTCTGTCCAGAGCAGAGGTCTCCAATTCCTGGGCAACAGACTGGTATTGGTCTGTGGCCTGTTAGGAACTGGACCACACAGCTGAAGGTAAGCGGCGGGGGAGCAAGTGAAACTGAAACATCCCTCTCCCAGTGTGTGGAAAAATTGGGTCCCACAAAACCATTCCCTGGTGCCAAAAAAGATTGGGGACCACTGGTCTAGATGATATCCTACGTGGATGCTGTTTCCTTTTCATAAAAACAGCCTTTAAACATTAGTTAGGATTTGTTCTTGGGCCTCTTAATTCTGTTGTGCTGGAAACTGTACATTTTTTGAGATGGGTTATACAACATGCAATGTGTTAGGCACTATTAAACACAAATAGCACTTAAAAAATAAATGACTTCTCCAGATATTGGTCATGGTAGCTACGAAATATACACTGATAAATTTGATTAACAAAGAGTAATATCTCAATTATGAGAACTATATAATTTTTATATCAATATGACAACTCACAGATCCAAAGGAAAATTTTAATTGAGTTTAGGAATGCTGGTTTTTTCAGGCTTGTGGTGGATAATGCAGACATGGAGTAAACTGGGCACTCACTGATTTAGTCTATAACTAATCAGCTTAAATTAATGTCTGAGAAAAACCGGCAACAACGGTAGGACTGGAAAGCAACAAAGCAAGGTGCTTCATAAGAAATAATCCTTCCTGCCCTGCTTCAGATAAAATAAATTCTTCTATCTTTTAATAAGCAGACTTATGTAGCCTGTAGATATAAGCCTATCTTTCTTAGGAGTCGTCATCATCTGAATTATAAGAAAATCAAGATATGGGTTCTATTCTGGGCAAAGTGGAAATATAAATTATGTTTTGTCATCTGATCACAACATGTAAGCAGGCTCTCATTTTTCCTAATAAGTTATCTCTTTTATTGCTCTTTTTCCTTGTCACTGGTAGCAATGACCGTCTATATCTGTGCTGGTGGAAGATTTTTATTCAAGGATGATTTTTTTAAAAAAGCTGTATTATAATACTATAGGCTTGAGAGTATGATATACTTGAGAGTGTGCAGTACCCATAGCTGATCTAATTTTGAACCCTAGTCATCCTAGGTAAGTGCTAGATCCTTCATTTAGAGAGGAAGCTATGCATGTTGCTGAAGCCCTAATCTCTGAGCATCCATAATCTCCTGTGCTCTCTTTTTCTTCCTGCTTTTGAGAGAACCCCGGCTGCAGGCTGCATGTTTGCAAGCTTTTTCCTGCACCTGTGAAGACTAGAATCACAAAACTGCACTGGGTACTTGGGTTCTCTGCTTACATGGCTAGCTATGTGTTTGAGGAACATTGAATATTGAGAAATGTAAAGAATTGAGAAAGAATTTATGGGAGACAAAAGTATCTAGAGTGAACTATGTGTAAATTATCCTGCCTTTTTGTCTTCGTCTCTTCAACAGGGAAATGCTTCCTTTATTGCAATGGCCTCATGGACCATCTCTATGTTTGTCAGAATGGAAACAGCTGCACAGCCTGGTATAAGGCACCCACTCATTTTACTGGCACATTGGTAAGGCCCCACATAAGAAAGGGCTGAGCCTCTGCCAGCTAAGGCGATGAAGTAGATTGTGTTTTCCACTTGAGCTAAGAAAATTACTTAAGTTTCCTGTATTGCCAGTGTGCTTTAAAGGTAGAAACTAGTAGAAGTAATATTTTTATCTCCTTTCAGCACAAGGAGGGAGGACTTCTGCTTATTTATGGGCTGTAAGGTTAGTGGATAGAGTTACTCCCACTGAAGTGTGGAGCTATCTGCCTCACTGGGTTTTTTAAAAAAACAACATATACACTAATAGACAATGCTTTTATTTGTTATTTTATCAGATGCTGTTATTGATTGAAGTTAATCGTTGAGTGTTATTTTTAAAACCGTGTGGTTATACGCAAGAAAACTGTGAAAATAAATAGACATTTTACTTAGGAATAGCCAAAAATACAGTGAGGGAAAAAATATTTGATCCCCTGCTGATTTTGTACATTTGCCCACTGACAAAGAAATGATCAGTCTATAATTTTAATGGTAGGTTTATTTTAACAGTGAGAGACAGAATAACAACAAAAAAATCCAGAAAAAACGCATTTCAAAAATGTTATAAATCAATTTGCATTTTAATGAGTGAAATAAGCATTTGACCCCTTGGCAAAATATGACTTAGTACTTGGTGGCAAATCACAGAGGACAGACATTTCTTACAGTTGGCCACATCTCAGGAGGAATTTTGTCTCAGTAGAACAACCAGTTTAAAGTTGATTCTGCTTAATAGTGTAGCAAATAAACATGTAAAAGTTATAGTAAGAGACCCATTGAAGCCTATTTCCAAGCAGACCACAGAGGAGAGCATGAAAAAAAAAAAAGATCTGCAGAAAGGGGATTTTAAAAATTGCTTTAAACGTTGATGCTTCCAACAGAAAATCAGTGGATTGCCAGAAGAATGTTCTTTTCTTCTTTAGTTATTCACCCACCTGCATACACTTTTTGGTGATTGAAATTGTAACTCTGCTCTAGCTTAGTGTTTAGCAAAATTAGAGTGGACAGACTTATGTTTCAAAACACCTGATGGTTTTTTTTCGTAGTAACTTGTCTCTTCATGTCTATACTTTCTTGCTCTTGTTCACTTTAGGATGCTTTTGTGAAGATAATACGGCATGAAGGTATTCGATCCTTGTGGAGTGGTCTGCCACCTACTCTGTGAGTATGAAGATGATTAAAATAAAAATTCAGTCAACAGAAATCTTGGGTCGTAAACTATTACTATCACTGCTTTAAAATATTCTTAACTATTCTCCCTGCCTCCCCCAGTTACTGATTGTAAAAAATCAATTGAGTTTGTAGAATAGAAGGCTAAAATTTTCAAACCTCCACATCTAGAAGCCATAGCCTCACTTTCTGGTAATAGTGGAGGAACTCCAGCTCTTACCACCTATCTTCCAAGTATACCTCACCTAGCATTTTCTTCTAGAAACAGGGCTGTTGCACCCTGTACCAGATAATCCTTAAATTATAACCATAATGGAGCTTGCCCATTATAGTCCGAAGTCAGGACAACATTAAATGAACTGCCTCAAGTAATGACCAGCCTTCCCTGCTCTCCCCAGTGCAGAGGGACTGATTTGTTGATTCTCCCCCCCAAATTAATTGTAAAAATTAAACTCCCTGCCTCCAGTCTATATTCCTTTTAAAAGTTTATCCTGACTCCAGGCTGAAGAGTAGAGGAATGGGAGCAAACAAGGAAATAAATTTTTTCTGCAACTTTTTCCTTTGAATTGAAGAAGAAAAAAAACCCCAGGAATTTAGCCAACTAAAGACTTGTGCAATAAAATGGAGGTCGCTGGGTCGTTGCAAGCTTTAGCCATTCGTCTGATTACCTGTAGAGGCATTCTGCAGTCTAGTCTTTAAAATCCCACCTGGGTTCTATCTTTACTGTCAATCTGGCAATTAAAAAGCAAAATGAAACAAAAACGAGAATAATGTCTGTACAACCTCCTAGGTAAGTGGTTTGGAGTTACAGGATTTCAGTTCTTTCTTAAGAGAGAGAGCTAAGAAAATAAAAAAGGAAGAGATCAAATATAACCCCCTTTTAAACTTTAAAACCTAAATGCAAATATTCAAGATTGTGGCAAAGGAATTACATAGTTGCCCTGACTGAGGCCAACAAAATGCAGAAAAAATGCTGCAGGCCGAGCATAAGATGGCACGTCAGATAGGAATTTATTTGGCAGAATCTGGAAAGAGAGATTACAGGGAGTTCAAATGGTTATACAGTAACTCATTGTAAATATTCATACGCTCAACTCAAAGATTGAGAAAAAGTTGAAATGACATAGAATTTACTAACTTGACTAGAAGCACAATAAAAAGAAACAGACCAGTTATCACAAAAGAAACAGTCCAATCTAAATCCTGAATAGAGCCTACAGAGTATCTCTTTCTACAGAAATACTGACTCTTGAAGCAAGATCACATATTTCTTTTTACTTTCCCTTTTTCTTGGAAATTCCACTTTCACTCTAAAGCCCTGGAAAATGATGTCAGTCTCCCCTTTTCTCAATCTTGATCTGGCAACTTCTCTTTGATTCCCTTCTCCAATTCTGCCTTTGTCTCTTTCAGACCGCTAACATTTTCTATTTCCAAGAGTGAGATGAGATCTGGGCCTATGACAAAGGGCCATGGCTTTCCATGGAAACGCACTTTCTGAATCTGCAGTCTCACGAGGAGATATTTATTGAGAATATCAGAGTTCTCCTTGCTGATGAATGGAACTCCATTTGACCTGGCATCAAAAACTGTTCCTACATAGCTTCTGAGAAGTTCATTCTCTTTATTCATCTGGAAAGGATCAAGCGGCTCTAGTTTGGGGCAAACTAAAATATTTAATTGATTGCAGCCCAAACTATATAATGCTCAAACTTTTGAATATCAGAAGACCAGAATTAGGTTCCTCAGAATTACAAGATATTATCTCTTAGTGCTGCTTGTTGAATTACAGCACTTTTTGTTTTGATGCAAAATGTTGGAGCATGATTTGATGAGATAGATATTAATAAATAGATCAGATCTAGTAGAGCTTCTATACGTGTATACATTCTCTTTTCTTCAGAGTTATGGCTGTCCCTGCTACTGTGATCTATTTCACTTCTTATGATCAACTACGTGATTTGTTGCATGTTAAGATGAACAGCCAAGGACACCATATCCCACTGGTGGCTGGTGCAGTTGCCAGATGTGAGTTACATCCATTTTTGTATACTTGCAGGAACTGTAGACTTAGCTGTTGCTTGAAAATTGCTTTAAAGCTAGGGGAGCGAAACTGCCCTTTCAAATGCGCATAGCCATTAAGGTTGTGCAAAGCATTTGAAGCAAATATTTTATAAAGTGGATTATAATAGCATGAATAAAACATCTTGGAGGTTTTATAGCAGCTACATCTTTGGAGGATGCATGGGTGCATGCATAACCATTTTAACTTTACAGGCAGTACCAGCAGAAATGTTGTTTGTGCATAGATATTCATACAGTGAGGGGAAAAAGTATTTGATCCCCTGCTGATTTTGTACATTTGCCCATTGACAAAGAAATGATCAGTTTATAATTTTAGTGGTAGGTTTATTTTAAAGAGAGACAGAATAACAACAAAAAAATCCAGGAAAACGCATTTCAAAAACATTATAAATTGATTTGCATTTTAATGAATGAAATAAGTATTCGCAAAACATGACTTAGTACTTGGTGGCAAAACCTTTGTTGCAATCACAGAGGTCAGACGTTTCTTGTAGTTGGCTGCCAGGTTTGCACACATCTAAGGAGGGATTTTATCCCACTCCTCTTTGCAGATCCACTCCAAGTCATGAAGGTTTTGAGACTAATGTTTGGCAGCTCAAACCTTCAGCTCCCTCCACAGATTTTCTATGGGATTAAAGTCTGGAGACTGGCTAGGCCACTCTAGGACTTTAATGTGCTTCTTCTTGAGCCACTCCTTTGTTCCCTTGGCTGTGTGTCTTGGATCATTGTCATGCTGGAATACCCATCCACGACCCATTTTCAATGCCCTGGAGGTTCTCACCCAAGATTTGACAGTACATGGCCCCGTCCTTCGTCCCTTTGATGCAGTGAAGTTGTCCTGTCCCCTTAGCAGAAAAACACCCCCAAAGCATAATGTTTCCACCTCCACGTTTGATGATGGGGATGGTGTTGTTGGGTCACAGGCAACATTCCTCCTCCTCCAAATATGGCGAGTTGAGTTGATGCAAAGAGTTCGATTTTGGTCTCATCTGACCACAACACTTTCACCCAGTTCTCCTCTGAATCATGCAGATGTTCATTGGCAAACTTCAGACGGGCCTGTACATGTGCTTTCTTGAGCAGGGGGACCTTGCAGGCACTGCAGAATTTCAGCCCTTCATGGCGTAGTGTGTTACCAATTGTTTTCTTGGTGATTATGGTCCCAGCTGACTTGAGATCATTGACAAGATCCTCCCATGTAGTTCTGGGCTGATTCCTCACCGTTCTCATTATCATTGAAACTCCATGAGGTGAGATCTTTCATGGAGCCCCAGACCGAGGGAGTTTGAGAGTTATTTTGTGTTTCTTCATTTGCGAATAATCACACCATAATCACTGCTTGTAGCCCATTCCCGCCTTGTGTAAGTCTACAATCTTGTCCCTGACATCCTTGGACAGCTCTTTTGTCTTGGCCATGGTGGAGAGTTTAGAATCTGATTGATTGCTTGCTTCTGTGGACAGGTGTCTTTTATACAGGTAACAAGCTGAGATTATGAGCACTCCTTTTAAGAGAATGCTCCTAATCTCAGCTTGTTTTTCTGGATTTCTTTTTTGTTATTCTGTCTCTCACTGTTAAAATAAACCTACCATTAAAATTATAGACTGATCATTTCTTTGTCAGTGGGCAAATATACAAAATCAGCAGGGCATCAAATACTTTTTTCCCCTCACTCTATGTGGACATCAGACTTTAATATGGCCACAGAAGTCTTCTAGAAGATGTGGCCACTTTTAGGATTTGAGGAGAAGTGCTTTGTGAAATGCTTTTGATAGCTATAAAATTACCTGGAGCTCTCTGAAGTTCCGCAATATTAAGGTCTGTAGGTTTCAAAAACTTTTTTTTAGAGTAATTTAGGAATCTGATAAGAAGCTGACCAAAAGTACAAGTTATGAACTGGCATTCTGCCATTCAAATCACTTCAGCCTCCCATTAGGTCCCGAGTCTCACTTGCCCACCTGCCATATATTTATATTGACTTATTTTATTAGGGTATTATATCAAACATTTATGTGAGATACTCTATATGAATCAGATGAAATATTTGAAATACTGCTGCTATGTTACATAAGCAGAGATACTAGAAGCAGCTAGTTTATTATTTGCTTTATGCTCAAATGTGCTAATTTTTTTTTCTAGGAGATCTGTATCATTACTGTCAGATTGAGCTGTGTCAGAAAAATCATAATTGCTTGCTAGAGACTTGCCACTGAATGACATCTTCAGTAGGAAATTTGTGTGTGCACGCACACGTGTGCATATTGTTTATTTATGTCAGAAGCATCACAATTAAAATAAGGCATATTGTACAATATAAAATGTAAAATGCAAGATTAAAATATGAACAACTTAAATAGATCTTGCTCAGAAACTAGTAACATTAGTTGCTGTTTTATCGTGCTTACCATGAAGTCCTCAAACGTATATTGATCAATACTTAAGGACAAATATATATGTGTGTGTTCTTGTCTGCATGTCTCCACAATTGCAATGGGCAGAAGCCATCAGATAACCCCATTTGTTTTGCGTGCCTCTGGATCTTGTTATATCTGTGCACAGCCTATTCAACAATTTCTGTACTTCTCCGTTTCCGCCAGATCCAGTTGCCAGCTCCTCCATTGGTTCCATCCAGTGTTGGTTCTTTGTAGCTTTCCATAGGTCCACTTTTAAATTCTTCAAAGACTTCCATCGACCTAAGGAAGCTTTTCTTGGATATTAATCTCTGGGGAACTGGTGGTAGGCCACAGAGTGGGTATGGTCTACACTAGGGGTAGGCAACCTTGGCTCTTTTATGACTCCCAGAATTCCTGAGCCAGGAATTCTGGGAGTTGAAGTCCATGAGTCATAAAAGAGCTAAGGTTGCCTACCCCTGGTCTGCACCTGTACATGTGTATGAATAACGTATATCTGCAATTCTTGAAACATTTGAAATGTGAGTGAACGCCCTCTTGATATTCTCCTTAAAATCATACTTATGTCTAAGTGTAGTTTCTATGTTTAAAAGTGGTTGGTGATAGGACTCCTGGGAGATTAAGTAAAATTGGGTATTTCTGTGAAGCATCCCAAAGCATCAGTTGCCTTTTATAACTATAATCAACACTGTGCTCTATTAGTTCTCCCAGGTTAATCCTTGTTATCCATTTCATAGTCACTTTGCAGCCTGGTGTTTAGAAAACAGTTCTGGTTTCAGTGGCTCTTTTATCCGATCCAGGGAGACTGCTGAGCCGGGAAAAGATTTAATGCTGAGCTAGATAGCTATTTCATTAAAACTATTGATTTCCTCGGTATTATAATGTTCAGCCACCTAAGGCTTATTTTCGTTTCTGTGCCAGTGGTTTTTATAAAAGAAACCAATCTGCCATCTTGGTATTCTAGTGGGCCTCTTGGCCCGAGGCAGAGGGAAGTAGCACTGAGAATAAAAGTTGGTTTCTCATACCAGATTGGGTTTTCTTCCATAGTGGGTGCAGTAACTATGATCAGCCCCTTGGAACTCATACGAACAAAAATGCAGTCTCGTCAGCTGAGCTACCGGGAACTACGTGTCTGCATCCAGTCTTCAGTGGCCCAAGATGGATGGTTGTCTCTTTGGAGGGGTTGGGGTCCAACAGTGTTACGGGATGTTCCTTTCTCAGGTATGGATTGAAGAAGGGGATCTGTCTCACTAACACAAGAAGTATTTAAGGATATGAGGGTGCATTACAAACATAGCTGGAAACACTAAATGGGTATTGTTTTAAAGCTAAAGATCTATCAGTTTCTTAGTTGTTAGATAAGAAAGTTGTGCAGCTGCCATCTTGAACACTTAAAAAAAAATTGCATACTTTAAAAAAATACAGAGGAATGTGATTACAATATATGATCATATATATAATACCAGCCCTGATGATCACTGCTTAAAGTGCAGTATTGAAAGCAGACTTTGATCCTGACGGGGCTCAAAGTTGACTCAGCCTTCCATCCTTTCCATTTAGTAAAATGAGGACTTACATTGTTGGGGGCAATATGCAAATAATGCTTCTGCCCTGTAGAGAGTGCTGTAAAGCACCATGGGATAGTATATAAGCCTACATGCTATTGCTGTTGCTATACAGCCCACAAGAACCCATTTTCACTTCAGAGTTAATCTTCCAGAGTGGTAGATAGAGTTTGCTTCAGTCCCCAAGCCACTCCTGTCTAGGCAGTGGAAGTCATTTCTAACTTTCCCAGTAGCTAGTGACTTAATCTGAGCAAAACTATCCACAGTGTTACTGTGTCGGGAGAGCTATAGTAACTATGCCTTCTCTTTTATGAAGAGAAAAATATAGTGAACTGATATCTAAAGCTTCTTTCCGCTTTCCTCATGTTTCCCTTTCTCTTGCTTCCCCGCAGCTCTGTATTGGTATAACTATGAACTAATGAAAGATCTGCTGTGTGGGCAGTTCTGCCTTGATGAAGCCACATTCATGATCAGTTTTGCAGCTGGAGCCATTTCTGGCATGGTGAGTTCCAGAGCTTTACAGATCTTTGTATAAATGTGAAAACTTGAGATCTACCTGTGATCCAGAATATGATGAACTTTATAATAGGCAGTGGAGAAGAAACTGTGGGTTTTAGATATAGCAGTGCTGTAATACTCACTGGCTCAGTTAACACAGAAAAGAGAGTTCCTGGGAATTGTATTCTACAAGTTCCCAGCCACTGGACATTTTGGTTAAGCCAGTGGACCAGGCCAATAGCTGAAGGGCCCTTTTACAGGTGGAAATCAGCTTTAGTTAATTTTGTGGATCCCATCAGTAGCATCTTCATTTTCATTGCTAAGCAACTCAGCCATTTCTATCTGGGCCTAGTTTTCTTTAGTAAAATTATTTTCCACAACCATTAGGTTGCATTAGAACCTGAAATTTTTGCAGTTAAATTGTGTGGTCCATGGACCACAGAAGCTAATAATATCTTACTTTAAAAGTATACTGTTCATTCAGTGGTGGAAGTCAACACATCTCAATACTTCTTTCTGTTAAAGACATAAGGCTAGTTCTTTAACTGGACACACCAGGAGAAGAAAGTTTCTAAGACTATCATAGTCTGCTTAATATAGTCCTTTGCATCATAAGTTTTTATCAGTTTTAGAAAGGATCAGGGTGGATAATAATCAATAATTTTTTAAAAAAATTAAAAAATCAGATTTTTAAAATTTAAATTGGATTTTTTTTATTTTTATCAAATTTATTTTAATAAAATGCTTTTGGAGTAAAAATATAACTTTCTATTTAAGATACACTAATAATTTAGTTTATTCAGCATGAAATGGAGCTTAGTTAGTTATGAGGCTGTATATTCTGCAATATTTATATTCTTGGTAAACTCATTCAATGAATCCAAGCTCTGCAAACTGAGATTACATGCACTGCATTGATGCATTAACATAATTTCACAGTAACCATGAGATAAATCAAAAAACAAAGTTCAGGAATATTCCTTTATCCGATCATTTTGCAAATCTATGTACACAGCAAACTGTATGATTGTTTGAAGAGAAATGCATCTGTACCAGTGTTTTAATTAAATAAAAGAATTTGAGTAGTTCTCCAACTATGTGTGATTACCCTAAAATCACTTCTGATATTGCTGTTTTACTAACCTGACAGCTTATTATTCTAAATAGGAAACCTTCATTTTGTTTGCAAATAATAATATTAAAGATTCTAACTACCATCAAGAATGAGTTTGTCATGGTTCTGACAGATGAAACTCTTCAAAAGAACCTCGAGGCATTGTTTACCTCAAAGAATCTTTTATTCGAGAAACAAAGTATCGGTACTACATAGTTAAAGCCAAAAACTGAATTCCCCTCCTCTGAGTTCAAAACACAATTCCCTCCTCCAATTAACAGTCATAAATCACATTCCTCATTTAGCTTGAAGCATGGGCTTTCTCCCCAGCTCTCCAGCCCAGCCAAATCTTTATCAACTCTGGGCACAATAACCTTGGATTCCCACGCTGAGTTATTATTGTTGTGGTTAACTGGACTCTCATCCACATTCCCCTTCCCAGCATCAACTAACTCTAAAAGCAAAAGAATAAAATGGCTGCATTTCCATCTGTTGTCAAAGCAAGAACATCCGATGTTAGCAACGTTGACAGAGTCCTTACATTTAAATAGCACCTGTCATTTCAGATCAATCATGGCAGCGCCTGTTAGTGGGCATTCACTCACCTACTGCCCACCACATCCCTTACCTTGTTGTTTCACTGCCGCATCATCAGCCATCCCATTAAAGTGAATGGGACTGTTGGTGAGTCAACAGCGGGTCAGAGGAGGAGCCGCTGTGGAACAGATAACAGTTGCTCTTTAAAAATTATGATTTAAATTGAGTTGATTTAAATCAAGCCTTTTTATTAATGATTTAAATCATGATTTGATTTAAATCAAGTCCACCCTGGAAAGGAGTATGTAACTTAAATCCTGGCAGTAAATATTTGTCATATCCTCTTTCTCCTTTCTTAACAGAATGGCTATGCTTTGCCCTCAGTTTTCACAGTGTCTTTAAAGTGAATAGAGTATACTATTTTCAGCAATATGAAGAAGTATTCAAGTTAAGAACCTGAGATGGAGGATGCTATATGAAAAATGTGCTTTCATCCGGTATAAATGTTAATATAGATAGTGGCTAACAGAATGTTTTACCTGTTCTCCAGGTGGCTGCTACTTTGACTTTGCCCTTTGATGTTGTAAAGACCCAGCGGCAGATTGAGCTAGGAAACATGGAGACACTTCAAGGTAAGAAGTGAGCAGCTGCCAAGGATAATGGGTAACTGTCGAACAGTAGGTAGCTCCTTTGAACATATATGCCTATACTTGAATTAATAGTGGTGGGAAGAATTTACAGTTGATAGAGGAGAAAAGGATTGAATTTAAAAGTCATAAAGAAAAGAAGAGGCAAACCTAGCTCATTGGCAAGAAAAATTACCTTTAACTTTTGATCAAAAGAGTTTACCTTTGATTCTTATTCACATGTGAAAAGCTGCAGGTAAAAACTAATCAAATTCCATGATATTCAAGTTTGATTTTTCACAGTTATCTTCTTGGCCAAGTGAATGATTTCCAGAAGGATTACTACTTCTGGTCTAATAGGTACACAGTTTCTTATTCAACAGAGTTTGCCTGACCTTTTGCTTCTTCCAGGGTCCAATCATATTTCTCTAAAGTATTTGCACTGTGTTTCACAGCATCTAGTAGGACGTATATTTTAGCAACATACTTGTCTGCCCTGGTGAGAACAAGGCTTTTTTGGCTTGATTGTAATTCAAATAATCTCATTAACATGTTATTTCTGTGCTGAAGAAAAAGCTATGTGGCGATTTGAAAAGAAAGAGATGTGTCATTCTGTGCAGGCCCTTTATAGAAACTCTGTTTTGTAATTTCGAGGTGATGGTTGCACAATTAATGCTATAAAATTACAATACATCCTGTATGATAGAGAGGATAGATTTTCTGAAAAGAAAAAAAAAAGAATTATAGTAGTCCCACTCTCACACGCTCATTTGTACCTGCTTATGTGTATCCTAACATAATGGAACTCATATGAATACAAGCCTGAAAATATAAAAATGTAATATAACAATCTATATAGCTGTTGATTTGTTTAAAGAATGTATATGGTCTCCTACTTTGAACCCTGCCATTCTGGAAAGCATACAATTCCTCAGAAAAACAAAAGAAGATAAATAATTTCAATTAAAATCCAGACCATTAACTAATTCCTGAACCAGGAAGTCACACTCTTATCCCTGTCCATGGAAATTTCACTCATTTTGGCTTCCATTTATCCTGATAGAAAAGCCAATTTTTTTCTGCCTTCCTGAAGGTCCCAGTAGTATTGGAGATGACTATATCTCTACAGACATGCAATCATTGTGGAGAACAAGCTATAGTCTGATTTGTGACATACGTGTTCCCGGCAAAAGGAAACAAACATTTTCCATCACCTCTTTCATTACAGTGCTTTGCAGACTTACTGGATAAATGTCCTATTCAATTCTGTAGAATCCCTTCTTACATTGGATTACATAGAATTGCATTCAGTGTATCCGAAATGATCATTGCTACATAAATTATTGCCAGTTTGACTATTTTCCATGTCAATTGTTTGAAGGGAAATGTTTAGCAGCTAGATTTTAAACTGCTTGTTCTTTTCTTCTTGCCCAGTTACCACACCCAAATCCTCATCGACTTGGCTACTTATGCAGAAGATTTGGGCAGAATCTGGCACGCGAGGGCTCTTTACAGGTGCCATTATCTAGTTTTATGCAAAAATCTCTACTTTAACCTTTGGGCAAGATGGGCTTCTTGGTGGTGAAAATTATGGCTGCCTGCAATCTTGTACTCTTAAGCAATTCTATAATCATCAAAACTATTATTTTACTTCTTTGCTTTTGATAGTGTTAATGTTGTTTGTGAAATGTCAGTGTAGTCTGACAACTAAATTTAAAAGAAGATAAACATTCATTTGGGTTTCTGCAGCTGCCATTGCCGGATTGGACAACTGGCACTATACGATTCCATTTCCTCATGTAAATCAGGAAGAATGATGAAGGGGAAGTGGCGGTCAGCTAGGCCCTTCAGCTATATCAGCAAAAAGGCAGGATAGCTTTGAATTTTGCAAGATGTATTTACTTGTTCTCTTTCTCCCTCTCCTGCACTTTCCTTCCAAAATCCATATAGGTTTTCTGCCTCGTGTTATCAAGGTGGCTCCAGCCTGTGCTATCATGATTAGCACATATGAATTTGGCAAGACCTTCTTCCAGAAAATGAACCAGGAACAGCAGTTAAATAGTCTATGAAGCTTATAAACAGAGCTTTGGACGTAACCTCCAGATGGACCAAAGAAATGCTGATGGCAAGAGAAAGAACACATTTTGGTAGATGCAAAAAAAGGAAAATCCAATTTATTAATAGGGTTGGATATAAAAGTGGATCCAACTATGAATAATTGAGAAGAAAGACCACATAACCAATAAATCTCTTGCTTGCTTTCCTTGTAGGATTTCTCACTCATCAGGCAAATTCCAGGTGCCTTTAAATAGCTTCTGGTCTCCTGCCTTTCTCTTTTTCCTAATAGACAAATAAGCCTCTTGGCTTTAAACCCTCCCTTCTTTAGGTACTGTCAAGATTGGATGCTATAACTTTTGGCTCATTTGAAGAGGAGAAGCTCCAGAATATCTTAGGTTTAAACCAATTGCATAGTATGATCCTGGTGTGTTGAGATTATTGGCCAGTTGTAAAGGAAAAAAGTAAAAAAAGAGGAGGAAAAAGCCTAGCATTGCCATGCCCCCTGCTTCATTACTATTATTTTTGATAGGCCTTCAGAGAGTAAAAGTTGCTAATAGACAGCAGATGTTTCCAATTCTATTTTAATTTTCAAAGGTTCTATTGGCCTGCATGCTTTTTTTTTAACCTGACTTTTCCTGTGCATGACAAACATAGCTGTCTGAAGTTGCAATCCTAAGCAGGACTTTGACAGCTTTGAGTAGAAATACTGATTTTGAACACTCAGGTTTTGCCCAGCTCTTCCCTTCGTACTAACACAAACAGCCTGAACTTGGAAATGTTGAATAGCCTGGATGAAAATGAATTAGACAGCTTGGGCTCCTGCCCTCTGGTTCAATATTTACTATATTAAAGGAGAGCTGAGAATAGCAAGCCAAGGTTTTCTTTGATACCAGATATCTTATGTAGCAAGTTGATATCTTGTCCCTTCTATGCTGTAAATTTATATGCCTGTTGCTTACATATTTGTGGAAAGGGGAAAAGCTGGGCTTTTATTTCTTGAATAAAATTCACTCTTTTTTTTAGCAGAACAAAAGTACACATTACTTGACGGTTGATATGTCTTTCTGTTGAGTTTTTCTTTCCTTGCATCCTCATCAGGTACCCTTAGATTTTATTAGAAAACCCAGGTCACTGTTTTTGAGATCTCAGATCTTTTGACCATGCTATTATAATTTAGGAAAAACACTGAAGAGTATGATTTTCTGCTGTTACCTGAAATTTTGGTATGACATTGTCAAAAAAAAAAAAAAAAGACCGATGATAAGTTTGAAGAACAAAATAAATTGTTGGAATTGATGTATGAATACAGTAGAACTACAAATAGTTTGATGGGATATAGAGAAATGTAGTGAATCATTTTGAAATAATCTAATTTAATGAGAATGTCCTATTTATTTCCAGTACTTAATTACTTTTGCTTAATTTTTCTTAATACTGTGTTTTCTTACCCCATAAGGGAATAGCATGATTGGTAAATTATTTTTAAAAATCAAGCAATGTCATCCAGCCCAATTCAATAAAGTCTTGTTCCCTGTATCCATAGGATCAAAAAATGACACACACACTGCCATGGGCCTCTGGCCACAAAAATTATATCCATCCTAGTTTAAGGTCTTATATAAAAATCTTTAAAACTCTTATCTAGTGAGAACTGCCATGATTAGAGGAATGCATTTGATTCCTAAATAAAATGTTGAGTGTTCTTTTATTGGTCTCACTCTGATACAGTAGGCTGATTCACTAGATGTACCCATGAATATATTTTATTGTAAGAACAAAGAGAGGAAACTTTGTTTCAGTGGCTGGGTTTGCAAAATGTGGTAGACCAGGGTAAATTGGAGTTTGCTTCAATATAAGATGTAAACTCAACTGTTGTGTCAGTGTGTTGGATAACCCAGGCTGCAATAGGATTTCTTTTTGTCATTTGTGAATATGGGAATGGTGCTTTAAATCAAATTTAGGATATTATGTGTATGTAGATCATATGTCTTCACAATACCCAGCAGCAAATCATTAGCTCTCTGATAGCATTGCTTCAGCAAACAGAAACATGACCTTCCTTATCATCACTGTGCAAACTGTTAAAATTTTGAGCAGCCCAAATACAACAGTTGCTGCATATGAGGCCAGTAGATGAAACCACTTGCATGACAGGAATGCAGAGAAATGGATACAATGGCATTATTAATATATTAGAAGTTAAAAGAGAATGTAAATAAGAAATGTTTTAAGATATAAAATATATAGTTGATAAGGAAGAAGTTATTTTCAATGTATCTAATTTCTGTTGCTCATATAGTTCAGATTTTCCAGATGGGAGGATCTGATGGTGGATAATTTGGGATTTGATACACTACATTCCTTTTGGGCTTATGTATGATTTCCTTTACTCTTAAACATTTTAATGATTTCTTCGCATCCTACAAACAGAGCACTACTGCTAGGCCATGAACATTTCCCCTTTGATCCAGCCTTGGTTTTGAGAGCTGGTGGTTGTGTATATTGGCTAAGACCAAAAAGATTCTCAGCCTGTGGACTTCAGAAATACAGAAGATAGCCCCTATTATGAGTTGAATTTATTTAACAGCCATTGGAAATCTTATATGACATGGTGACCACAGGTGCTGTATTGCTGCCTCTGTCGCAGGTAGTGAGCCTCAGAAGATTTACATAGTCTAATACTGGGAAATGCTGCGCTGGAATAAGACTCTCCTAAATAACCTTCATAGTAATGGGAAACTATTGAATTTCGTGCATCCACCATCAACTTATCAATTGGTCTTGAACAATTCCCCATTTTTTAGCAATATGCAGATAATAGCTTATGAGAAATATGGAAGCTAAAACGTAGAGTGCTTGGTTCAGTCAAGCCAATGTTACACAAACCGTAAGTGGCAACATAGGATAAGTTTGCAATGCTCATAAACAGCCAGTTTATCTCTCAGTACTCTAAAATGGGAAAAATGTGAATTCTCTCACCACCCACATAGACATACCAAAGGTTTTCAGCTATAGTTTTGGAATTTTGATAATACTGTTAATATTACACGTGTTCTTCCCTTTTGTGTTACATGTAACTGTTGAGACGTGTTTACTTGGAAGGAAGAATGGGAAGACTTAAGTTGGTTACTGTTGAAATTGTTAGTGACTGCAGAATTTTAAAACCCAGCCTGAATTTGTTACCAGAAAATAATCATCAGTAAGCATTGTCTGCCAGCTCCTTAATTTGCTTTAATGCCTGTTCATTCTAACAATTCACTAGGTGGTACCAGTCAGTTTCTCAGCTCTGGTCATTGATGATTTTGACTTATCCTGGAGTAGATTCTTAAACTTTTCTTGCTGCTTCAGATCTATGGCACAGATCAAAAGTCAAGATATAAATATTGGTTCTCTTTCACCTTCCAATGTGTCCATTCCCATAGCAGAAAGTTCCAATGGGATAGAAACATGCAGGAGAAACATGTAAAAAGTAGACTCATTCATGAGTGGCAGGACCAAGGAAGACACAAAAATGATTTCTGTGCTGTAAAGATATCCAGGAATCTGAAGTTGTCTTGAATCCCCTTTCTGTAATACGATTAACCAAAACAGATCTTGCAGTTATATTTGAAGTGCGGTGGTGGGCTTAGGATGGGTAATAAATTACCTCCCTTCCCACAGCTAAGTCTTTAAATGCTGTTATCAGGAACACAACCACAGATCATTCTCTTCAATGAAAGGGGATGATACAGGGCCAGGCAATTAATTTCCTTGTCCATTGTGCAAATCTTCACATTGAACAATGTGCAGCAGAATTCAACTGGTCTAGATCTTCTTTCTGCCTCCAGCAATAGACAGTCAGAGGATTTTTTTCTTAAATGTTTTGCAGAGGCAGCTATGTTTTGCCAATCTCGACCATATATAATATACATATATACATCATCATGTCACAAAAGCACTTTTTATGGACAACCTTTCCACTTTCTGATAAGGGTGTGCTTTCTCTCTTTTTTTTCCTCTGTTCCCAATTTAAGGAAGAAAGTCTGGGTTTCTAAGAATATTTTGATGAGGAAGCAAACACATTGCCCTGTTGCATCAAGCTGGATAAATGGTTCAGTTGCCCTTTCCACCTACAGAAATCAAGCCAAAGAGGTTTAATTCCGGATGTTTTGTCCACCCAAAATCTTCATTGACTTTTTTGAGATTTATGAGAACAGTCTACCACTGTCTCAACTGGGACTATGAGCAGGGCTAGGCTCTGTGCTGTCGCTCACCAGACACTCGTTGGATTTTAGGCTAGCTAAAGACTTGCAGCTAGGCAGAGAGGCCAAAGACCCACAAAGGCCCAACATTGATGGAGTTGGGTCCTTTCCTGCAGAGAGAAGAAGAGAGGAATGGCTCTAAAATGAGTATAGACCATCCCTGAGAACATCGCTGGCCCAAGGGGTAAAACTAGATTAAAAATTAAAACTTTCCCTGTGTGTTGAATTTCTATTTTGGTTTAAAAAAGAAATCTACTGACAACTTTTGAAGAGGCTGAAGCGGCACATGGTGGGTGCTTAGCGCCACTTTCAATAATTTATTAAATTATTAATAACTCCTCAATAAAACTTTATTGAAAGATTAAAAACTTAGAGCTTAATCCAAAAACAGCAGTTGTAACTTGAAAAATTAATTACATATTTGTTTTAGAAATAGAAGGCTGGCATTCCGTAAGATGGATGTCCATGTTACTTAAATTGTATCCCTAAAAAAGAAGACCAAGAATGCAGAACAAAATCATGTTCCTGCAAAGAAGCCAGTCTTCTGTATGTTACTGTTCTGAGTGTGCCTCTTGATAGAGAAAAAAAATTCAAGACAAAATGCAAATAATGGCAAATAATTTCATCTTGGCATCAATTTGAAATTACTAAATGTTATATTCAATGTTTTGCTCCAACCATGAACTTAAAATGTTTCTAATGTCTTAATAATTCAAATAACAAAAATAATTGTTTTAAGCATAAAATATAAAAGGCTACCGAATCTAATATATACAGGTTAGTTTAAACAGAATTATGTAATATATGTTGGAAGATCAACAAGGCAAACCCAGAGGGAGGTGGAACAACAAAGGTTATTTTGCTTTATTTCTAGATGTGAAGTTAACTAAATAGTTAACCATTGTTAACTATTTCTTGTTAACAATGGTTAACAAGAAATAGAACTTACGCTTTGTGGGAGACCACTGTTGTTATTGGAATTATTTCTTTCTTGAAACTATACATTATCAAGAAAACAGATTAGGAAGAATGATTGCATAGTCACAGAAAGCATGATTTGAGCCAAAACCAAGAATCTGTTTCCTATATAACAGTGGTTCTCAACCTGTGGGTCGGGACCCCATTTGGGGTCGAACGACCATTTCACGGGGGTCGCCAAACAACGCAGTCCGCCATTTTTTCCCCCTTTTCCTTAGCTGTGCTACTCCCTTTTATTCTATTGGCTTTTGAAAGCCAATAGAATAGACTCTCTTGAATAGAGTCTAATTCTATTGGCTTTCAAAAGCCAATAGGAATTGTCCAGGCTGTCTCTGCCCTGCTGAGCCCGCCAAAAGTCCTATTCTGCAAACGGTGCTACAAGTTGTCTGCAGCGAAGGCGAGTTGTCTGGAAGTTTCCACCCCTCCCTGCTGAGCAACTACTAAAAATGTAAGTAAAAGAGGGCCAGAGGTGGGAGGCCGTCGGGCGCAGGGAGGGTTGCTGGCGCGCGTGGGACCCGGTGGGTGCCTTACCTCCCTTGGACTGGGCCAGCTGGTGGCCCAGCCAGTGGTTGGCCTGCGCCATCTCTGCCGCTTGCCAGCTACGCCTCAGCCAGTGCAGGGGGCGGCATATGCATGCGCGGCGCTCCCGGGCAGGGAAAGTCCTCGACTTACGACCGGTTGGGTAGTCCTCGACTTAACGACCGGTTGGGGTCGCGGCATTAAAAAGGTTGAGAACCACTGCTATAAAATATACTTGCCTTGGAAAATATTAATTATGGGGACTCCAAAATTTTTCAGAATTGTCTTATCAGGGAGATGGGTGGCTTATACATTTAATAAATAAATTTTCTCTTTGGGAGTCAACATTCACATATCCCCTTTGCCCTTCACAAAATGTGAAGGGCAAAGGGCATGACAAGCTGTAGCATATTTTGTTTTCTAAAGTAAGCCCTTTTGGGGTTAACAAATAGAAGGACCATATGGTTGGGTTTGGAAAACATTAAGCCAAATGAAATGACACAAGGACTTTGAGTGATGTACAACTCCAGTCACAGATATTTCCCAAGACCATGCAAACTCTTACCCAATGGTCCCCAAGGTTCCTCTTCATGTTTTCCTTCACCCATCCGTTGTGAATCAGAACTCAAGCTTATTTCTGTGGAAAGTTGATCTGTGCTCATGAAACTATGCCTGGAAAAAAGAAGAAAGAATTAGGAGACATTTCTGAACTAATTCCTAGAACATGTACATTTCCAGTAGCATTCTGATGATAACTGTTAAAATCTGCCAGCTCCTCTGTCCTACCTAGCTTCATTTAAAAGAAATCTAATTATAAAAAATGGATGCTATAAAACAACACATCAATCTCAAAATACAATATATTTTTCTATCTAGGCTCTACATAGGCCCAGAGGCATTTCTAAATGATAGAAATAGTGAATGGCTACAAACCATTACTTTGTTTGAAAGTAACCATATGTCCAGGGTTTTTCCCTGGAAGATTAAACGTCAGAAGGCATCCTGGAAGCATCTTCGCTTTGATTTTTTTTTTTTTTTAGTAGGTGGTTTATAATTAACCTTGGTCATGCCCATCACATGAACCAGGTTTAAGGTGTTCATACTGTAACTTGGTTTCATAATTCCAAAGATACCCCTGGGAAGACTTATAGAAAGACTTGAGCAGGCTGTCAGAAAAATATCCCATGACTATATAATTCTGATGTGTATAGGAGGCACATCTTAAAAACAAGGAAACTACTGAAGTCAGACTGTTTTTCAGGCAGACTTTCAGTGACATTTTTAGCCACAATACAACTATGGTTTGTAATTGTCCACCTCTGGCATGTTTTATTTTTGTCCCATTTAGTATATAACCTGGGATTTACAGATTATTTCCATCCAAATATTAACGTAGCTCAAATTTATTTTGCTTTTTTATTTTTAATTCAGACCCAGATGCTTTGGATAAGCCTTGAATATTGTTCTCCATTGATTCTCTTCTTTTTGTTCTTGAAATCACCCTTCTTTTGCTCAGCCAATTCAAATATTAAATGATTACAAAATTTTGTCAGTGTGGAATAATTCATACTAATGTGCCAAATGTGAAGCCAAGACAGCTAACAAACTTGATGTTTTTGTAGCATCTATAGACAGTGTATAAGAACTTTTGTGCCTATTTCTTCATGTGGCAGGACTGCCAAAACAAACCAGTTTCCATGGATAAAAGATAATCAAGAGATGTTCTTTATGGTGGTGTTCTTAATACTTTTCCAAGAACATCAAAGTTTGATGCTTTCATTCTGAAAAATAATCAATTTTCTGCTTTTGTTTAAAAACAGAATGGCTATTTTAGCAAGATGAAACCAGAGAAAAGTTAGAAGAGATTTATTATGGTTCAATTATGTTGATTTAGACTGAGCAAATAGAGAATTAGATGGGCAATATTTTAGTGGAAAGATGCTACACTAGTTGTGGGGCATGTGATAAGCAAGTCAGGGATAAAAATGGAAACGGGGGAAAAGATTAAATTATTTTCCATGAATTTTAAATTTACTGAAAAGTGTAAAACTTGTGCTATATTTTTCTTGCCTTGGAATGGAGGAAACGTGCATCACTGATTTCCAGCAAATATGCTGAGGCTACAAGAGATCTTAAGAGAAAAAGATACATCTTTTAGACACGCACTGACCTCCTGAATATCTTGGCTTCTGCATGATTTTCATTACTGTTCAGAATCCCCAAAGACGGCCATTGGTTCACCAAGGGTGCAGCCATATCCTTGGAGAGTTGGGTAAACTGGCTGTTGTCTGAAGGAATGAGGCCTGTCCTGAGGGCAGAGCAGGAGGAGGGAAATCTGATTGAGGGAATGCAACCTGTCAGCTTAAGGCAAGGAACCAGAGAACAGCACTGTGTCCATCCTCCCACGTGACACAGGATCCAGCTTTAACAAACCTAGACCCCGTCTCATAGGACAAAGGGAAAATTGATTCCATTTGGGCCTGCTTGTTACTGGCAAGGAGAGTATGTGGGGTTGTATCCTACTTACAGCTGCTCTTGCAGTTCCAGGATGATCCCTTCCAACTCCCGTTTCTCTAATTGATTCTGCACCTTCACCTCTTCCAGCCTTAACTTCAGGCGTTTGTTTTCTGCCTCCAGATCCTTGAGTTGTGACTCTCTCAACCGAACTAGCTCTTCTAGATAGCCCTGGGACACAGCAAATGAGGGGGGAAAGGAGAAAAATTAATTCCTATGCAGTAGTACAATGAAATGGACATAAAATTATTGGATTTTTGGAGTAAACGCTACAAAAACAGCCAGCAAGCAAGAATTAAAAAATAACTATTGTCCATGAACTGCTAACCTTCTTTTTAGACTACTGATTTAATAACCTTCAAAAGTTGTATCAGGCCTGAAATCTCTAGCATATCATAACTAGTAGCAATAAACCAACAGGTGGCTAGAAGTCTTAATAAGTATAAATAAGTCTTTAGAAAGCAGATTAAGCCAAAATATTGCACCAAAAGATGTTTTCTATACTAGGCAAACCTTGAAAAGGGTATTTCAAAGCTGAGGTGACCACAATGCAGAAGACGTGTTCCCAGTTCCCAGTTGTGTTTTTGACAAAGGGAAGCATAAAGAAGGATTTCTGAAGGATCTCTTTAGCATGTAATCCAAAGTCGTGTGGCTTTAGGACATAGCAGCAGGAGCTGTGAAATGATTTAAAGCCTGGCAAAAAGTATTTTGTGGAGTTAATTATAATCAATAGTTTAGACCAGCCTTCCGTAACAGTCACTTGTGCCTTAGTCACCTTCTGTCTTGACTATTGCAATGCATTCTACATGGGGCTGTCCCTGAAGAACATCTGGAAGCTTCAGTTGGTATAAAATGCAGCAGCCCACATGTTTTTGTACAGTGTGCACATGTGACACCTCTCCTGCAGGAGCTGCATTGGTTGTCCATTTGCTTCCTGGTGCAATTCAAGGTGCTGATTGTCATATCTACCCAATGCACTAGAGTGGGGAGGCAAGGAACGTTGCGGCTCTTTTCCTTGGTGGCTCCCTCTCTCTGGAACATCATTCCCTCAGAGATTAGACTGGCCCCCACTTTAGCACTCTTCCGGAAGGCGCGGAAGCCCTGGGGAACCCAGAGCGGGATAGAGCTCAGCAAATAGCTAGTTTAACATGTGCTGTCGCTGGGGTGGGGAAGGTGGGGGTTTATTATTTTATTTTTCCTCTTGTTATTATATTTTTTATAAGGTGTTTTTTATTGATGTAAGTCACCATGAGTTGCCATGTGTGAATAGGCGGGGATACAAATTTTCAAAATAAATAAATAAATAACCTGTTGTTCCTTGGATGTATTCCTTGAGAGGAGGAGGAGGAGGAGGAAACCAAACATATATTAAGAATTGTCTCTTTGATAAGGTAAATATATAATTCAATATAATTAACTCCTGAATTGGTTACAGATTCTGAACAGATGCTATCTTAACCTATTGCTAACTTTCCTGTAATCTGATAATCTTCAATCATACTGGGCTACAATTTTTACTGTCACCAAACACTACCCGTCATCCAATATACTTGAGGTCACCAATTTAGAGAAAACCACTGAATCTGACTTTTCTCAATGGGAAGTTTCTTCCTCAATACAAATAATATCTTAAGAGCAAAGATTTTCCTTGTGCTGCAGTCATGTAGAAATCCCTATCCATGTCTTCTTTCCCATGGAAGTTTTATTTAGACCTATTAAATTCCCAGCCCCTCTTGGAAAATCCTTCTTTGTTTTTTTTTTTTCCTAATTTCAAAATCAGCTGATTTTAGAAGTTTTGTGGAGCACAGGAAGGGCTCCTTTAGAACTCAGTTTTTTCTCTCTCTCTCTCATGTTGGAGCACTATTTCTAAATCTCATTCGAATCTCAGATGTAATTGTGAACATTTCCACGCCTTTTGAGACATCTTACTTTTATGACAGGTGTAGGTTTGGCCCTCAGGGTCTTATGCTCACGCTTGAACTCCAGGTACCTTTTGTGCATAGACGATGCGAAACTTCTGCTCTATCTTGCGCCATTTAATGTACCAGCTGTCTTCTGCAGTCACTAGGGGTAGGTACGGATGGTCAGGAGAGCTCTCTTCACTGGTACTACTCTCCAGGCTGTGCCGCTCCTCTTCATCACTTAGGTAATCATAACTAGAGAGATTGAAGTTTACTGCAAAAAAGTGACTGAAATGGGATGCATAATTGCATGCTAGAGTCTTCCATTTCAAGTTTACAAACAGCAGCACTATATTTTAGTGATCCTAATAAGAATGCCTTGAGGGGTTTCTACAGGTTTTTTTCAAAGAATATCTTGCATATCTGGCCTACATAGATATATCTAATCATTTCAAGTCCCAAGAATACCATTCTGAAAACTCTCATTAAAAAAATTAACCCCCCAAAAGAACGTTAATACATCTATCTGTTGTGTTATTTTTTTATGTTCACAGGAAAGTTTTTTGTTGTTGTTAATATGCAGGGGCATTCATAATTTGTTCCCTCTCTTCCTATGCAAATTTATGGTCAAAAGGGACCATACCCAGGACCTTCTCTATTGGTGATGATGATGATGATGATGACAACACAATTCTATATTACACGTGGAGCCAGTCCCAGTTTAGAATGTGTTCTTACTTCTTCTTTTTTTTAACAGAAGGCTCCCCTTTAAATTAAACATGCATATCTTGAACTTTGAACAATCAAGCATACATTATTAGCCTTGGAGAACCTTCTGCTTTATAGCCTAATTCTAATGACACAAGGCAACATTAGGAAAACCTGTTACCTCTGTGTAAACTTCAGATATGGAGTATAGTCGATAACCACTGGTGTCTTACCATCCATAATTTCCCCTTTCAGGCAGAAACTGTAAAACAAATCAAAATTGGATTAAGTTATTTAAAAATCCCTGTCTTTGGAGCACTTATACTATAGATCAAAGGTCCCCAACCCCCGGTCCATGGACCAGTACTGCATGCCAGCAACCAGTCTGCACAAACAAGCAGAGCCCCATCCACACAAAACCACACACCCTCCAGGCCACAGAAAAACCTCTCTCCCTAGAACTGGTCCCTGATGCCCAATAGGTTGGGGACCTCTGCTATAGATAGCTTAGGGCTGTATCATAGTTCCAATATCAGTTGAGCACACGCATACCACAATATTGTTCATTTAATTTAATGTGCAAAGGAAATAAAATATAGTTCATTCAAAGGGTATATCATGGAAGGCACAATACTTACTTAAAATTAACAGTGCTTATCCAGACAAAAATGATTAAAATAGAGGGCATCTATGTACCTGAAGTCTATAGCACTGAGGCCAATCAGCATTCCTGTAAGGACAGTTGATTCTTCTCGCAGCATTATTGCTCCATCATCGTAAAATCTCCTTTAGAGAGAGAGGTGAGGAAAGAGAGAGGCTTGTGGATTAAATGGGGACAAATATGGAAAAAGATACGGGAATTGTTATCTCCCACTGTGCTATTACAGGTAGTCCTCAACTCAGATCACATCTGAGCCCAAAATCTCTGTTGCTAAGTGTGATAGTTGTTAAGTTGCCCTATTTTACGACCTTTCTTGTCACCGGTATTAAGTTAATCACAGCAGATGATAAATTAGTAACATGGTTGTTAAGCTGAGTATGGCTTCCCCGTTGTCTTTGCTTGTTGGAAGTTTGCAAAAGGGGATCACATGACTCCAGGACACAGCACCGTCATAAGTATGAGTCAGTTGCCAAGCATCTAAATTTTGATCATGTGACCATGTGCAATGGTTATAAGTGTGAAAAATGGATATATGTCATTTTTTGCAGTGCTGTTGTAAGTTCGAGTGGTCATTAAATGAACTTTTGGAAGTCGAGGACTACCTGTATTACAAATATGGAAAAAAACAAAATAGGTACATTTACATCCTTCTCCCTTAGAGCAGAAAGGAATACACACAATGCATACAGACAGATAGGTCATCCCATGTCAAAACTATTTATAAAATAATACTTTACTGAAATAATGCCTGCCATTGCCTCCATCCTTCTTTTCACAGGAGACTTCTGACAATTGTTGCTTACTTTTGTTCTTTTTCTGGACAGTCGGGTACTTCTTAACCAACTCCTTTGGTCACAGCAGCCGGCTACTTTATATTTCAGGAAAAGCATATGGGGATGATTTGGGTTCCTAGACACGTTCTTAAAAATTAAGCTAAAGACAGATGCTTTCCTCTGCAGCCTGCCAACTGCAATCAAAAGACTAAAAACTTAGATCAGGTAGGAGCTTGAAAGACACCAAGAGATGTTTACAGGCTCATTGGCTTCCTCAAATCCAATCCCACCAGACAGCATCAAGATACTTCTAAGCCATCCAAAAGTTCTGATGTATATAATACATTTAAACCCACTTAGCCAACAGTTTGAATATGAGGCATTTTTGCATCGTAGAGGCAAAGCATTAGGTACAGCTTTCTCTCTATGTGAGGTCAGCATCAAAAATTCGGCTAGTGCCAGATAGTTCACTATAAGAGCTTCTTACACATTTAGGCTTAGAATTTTAAATGCACAGATTTCCAGCAAGAGCTGAGAGTAATTGTCTTACACTTGCAGAATACAAACTCATTTATGACTTATTGAAGAAGAAAAACAACAGCAGAGTCATTATATACTGTGGGAAGAATCCAGAGAAAAAATATTTTGAGGAATATTAAAAAGAAAATTAAAAATTATTAATTTTTTATTAAATATTAAATATATAAATATTAAAAATTAAAGGAATGCTTAAAGGATTATTTTGTTTTAAATATGTATAAGGGAACATCAATGTCAATGGTATGGGATGCAAGTAAAGCCTTTATGCGTGGGATTTTGATAAAAATGAATAATTTTCATAGACAAAAGCAGACTCAGAAACGTAAAGAATTGGAAGATGAGATTAAATTAAAAGAGAAGCTTTTAATCTCAAATCCTTTAGATGAAAAGGTGAAAGGAGCTATAAAATTGTTAAAAACACAATTTAATATGTTGATGGCTGACCAAGCTGCAACTAATTTAATGTTTATGAAACAAAATACATTTTGTAATGCTAATAAACCAGGGAGATGGCTGGCTTATCAGTTAAGAAAGAAACAGAGACAGAGAATTATAGATAAAATAAATTATAATGGTAAATTGGTTTATCAGAAAGAACTGATTAAGAAATCTTTTTTAGATTATTATCAAAAATTATATAAGAGTACCAATGTACAAACTATAGATATAAATAATTATCTAAGTAAAGCTAATCTTCCTAAATTAACAGAAGATCAGAAAAAAGAGATTAATGGTTTAATTACCAATGAGGAAATTGTGACAGCTATTAAGCAATTAAAATTAGGCAAAGCGCCGGGTACGGATGGTTTGACATCTATTTATTATAAAACTTTAGTAGAAGAGATGACTCAACCTTTATGTGAGCTTTTTAATAATATATTACAGGGTTTAGAGATTCCTCCGTCATGGCACAATGCTTTTATATCTTTGATTCCAAAAGAGGATCAAGATCTCACTTTGTCCAAGAATTATAGGCCTATATCTCTCTTAAATGTGGATTATAAAATTTTTGCAAAAATTATAGCTAATAGGTTTATGGGGGTCTTGCAGCAGCTTATACATAAGGATCAATCGGGTTTTATAACTGGAAGGTATATGAAAAATAATGTTAGACAAATTATTAACTTATTAGAATATTTAGATAAAAACAACCAAGTCTCTGTAGGGCTGATATTTTTGGATGCTGAAAAAGCCTTTGACCAATTGAACTGGCAGTTTATGTTATGTTTAATCAAGGAGATGAATTTTGGACAAAATATATTACAAGCTTTATCTAACATATATCAAAAACAGACTGCTCAACTTATTGTTAATGGGGGTTTGTCAGAGGTTTTCACAATAGAAAAAGGTACAAGACAGGGATGTCCATTATCTCCGTTATTATTTGTTTTAACATTGGAAATTTTGTTGATTAAAATTCGGGAGTCTCAAGAAATAAAAGGAATAGAGATTAATAAAAAAGAATATAAGTTAAGAGCTTTTGCAGATGACTTGGTTGTTACTTTGTCCCAACCTACTTACTCAGTAGTAAAATTATTACAATTGATTCATCAATATGGGTGTGTTTCGGGGTTTAAAATTAATAATAATAAGACTAAAATATTACCCAAAAATATGACTAATTGTGATAAACAGACCTTGGTTAACTTAACAGACCTTGAAGTTGTTGATAAGGTAAAATATTTGGGGGTCATATTATCTGCTTCTAATGTAAAATTGTATAAAAACAATTATGAAAAGTTGTGGATTGGGGTACAGAAGGATTTAAAGAATTGGGGTAACTTACAGTTATGTCTTATGGGTAGAATTGCAGTTATCAAAATGAATGTTTTACCAAAATTTCTTTTTTTGTTTCAAATGTTACCTATCTTAAAGAACGAACTTAATTTAAATGAATGGCAGAAAGGTATTAACAAATTTATTTGGGCAGGGAAAAAACCAAGGGTAAAACTTAAAATTATGCAAGATTTTCGTGAGAGAGGTGGACTCAAGGTACCAAATTTGAAACTATATTATGACGCTGTGGTCCTAACATTGATTAGTGATTGGATGAATTTAACAAATGTAGAAATACTCCATTTGGAGGGTTGGGATTTACTTTTTGGATGGCATGCCTATTTAATTTTTAATAAAAAAGTGGATCGGGTTTTTAAATCTCATATTATAAGGATTTCTTTGCTTAGGGTGTGGAGGAAATATTATAAAAGTGATTTTAAAATACCATTATGGGCTATACCTTGGCATGCGATAGAGGGGATAAAGAGAGGAGTTAAGATGGATACGGTTTCCTATATACAACTACTTAGATGGGATGGTCAAAATTGGCAGTTAAAATCTTTGGAAGATTTAGTACATGAAAACATTACTTACTCATGGTTTCAATATAGACAAATAGTGGATAGATGGAAGACGGATCGTAATATGGGTTGGCTTAGAGAAGATGAAATTTTTTTTAAACAAGTAAGGGATCAAAGACCAACTCATATTAAGAGGGTTTATGGGGTTTTAGTGGAAATGGATTCAGAATCTGAATTAATCAAAGATTGTATGATTAAATGGGCACAAAATATTGGTGAACCAATCCCATTGGATACTTGGGAACTTATCTGGGTGAGGAATGTTAAATTTACACAAGCGCAGAACTTAAGAGAGAATTTTTATAAAATGTTTTATAGATGGCACCTTGATCCACAAAAAATGTCTATTATGTACCCTGATCTACAGCCTAAATGTTGGAGATGTGGTTGTTTGGACGCTACTTATTATCATATTTGGTGGTCGTGTAAAAATATAAAAGCTTTTTGGATTAAGATATGGTGGAATATTCAAAGAATCTTTAGAAGGAGGGTAAAATTTACCCCGCAATTATTTTTATTAGGTATTGTTACTGATTGTGATGCTAAGGAAGTTATATTGATGTTAAATTTGATTACAGCCGCAAGACTGTTAGTAGGACAATATTGGAAGAAGGAATCTTTGCCTACTTTACAAGAGTGGTTTTATAAAGTTTCTTACTTAGTGGAAATGGCAAAGATTTCGGCTTTCTTAAAGGAGCAATCTCAAGAGAAATTTTGTGTTGTATGGGAAAAATGGATAAATTTTATACAATATAATTTGGATATGGAAAAATATCATTTTGCTTTTTCATAACTTGTATAGATTGTTTTTTCTTTTCTTTTCCCGTCTTTTGTTTTCTCCCTTCTTTTTTTCTTTTATTTTTTTATCTTTCTTTCTTTTTCTTTTTCTTTCTCTCTCTCTTTCCTCTCTTTTTTCTTTCTTTTTTAAGTATTTTTCTTTTTAATGCTTATGTCACATATATCTTATTATTAATTATTTTATAAGTTGTAAAAATTTGTTTAGGTTTTTTAATTTTTTTTTTAAATAAGCCTATATTCAGTTCTGGGAAGTTCGGGGAGGGGGGAGAGAGGGGTGGGTTTGGGAGGGATTGGGTGAGGGTTGATTTGTTTTTGGTTGTTTATTTGTAAAACTTTTAAAAAATTTTCAATTAAAAAAAAATAAAAAATAAAAATAAAAAGGCAGAATATATTTCCCCAAAGGAATAATGGAGAAGATCTTAAAAAAGGACAGAAACCAGCCCCAGCCCCTCTCCCCAAGCAGAAACTAGGCAGAGGCCAGCTTTTAGAAATTCAGATGCAATAATCCATTCAGGAAGGTTGGAGCCAAGAAGCTATTAGGAAGATGAAGACATCTAAAATCTACATACCCCCCCATCCAAATTCTAAGGACAGAAGACACAATAGGATTAACCCACCAATACCAAAAGGGCACACTCAGACTCAGGTCAAAGTACACGACACAGAAAATATAAAGCCTCAAACAGGAACAGGAAACAACCTCAAGAGTCCCAGAAGGTATAAAAACTCACCACTTCCTGCTACATGTGGTCAGTTTTTTCCAGAGCCATATTTCTGTCTGGCTCTCCTCTTCAATAAACTCCAACCTTCTTTCTAAAGCAGTCCGCATTTTATTTATTCCCAGCTTGGACTGGACCCTAATGAAGATTTTTCTCTCAACCATTTGGCGACCCAGATGGTACTGCAAGCTAACCTCTCCAATGGACTGAGACTGATAACCCCCATCTTGCCGCAGCAGACCCCTTGTGTCTGTGGATGGGTTTCCCAGGCCCTGGCCATTTGAAGCAAGGATAGTAAAGGGAGTTTTCAGTTTGAGCTCAAAGGCTGCTTTGGAAAGAAGATGAGTACCTCTAAATTTTAATTTAAAGCCCAGGGGATTGAGGGAAATGTGTGTATATCTATATGTGTGACTGAGAAGACCTTTTCCTCAATCGCAGTTGGATTTTGCTATCTCTGGCCTTTCCTAACTACAGAAAGGATCTGTTCAAGTGACAGACTTTGGAAAGCATGGGGGCTTGGCCAGAGCACAGGACCTTTTGTTAGGGAAAAGGGATAGGCTGTGTTTAAATGAAATGGAAAAGTAAGTGAGAGAACTGGATTTGGGCAGTTAGCTAAGAATTACTGAGCAGAGCCCTATTCTAAAAAGGAGGAACTCTGAAATCATGGTGGACAGAATTCTCCCAGGCTATTTGTCTGAAAAACAAAGGGGATACTACAGGTTGGAAAGTACCTCCACCTGTTGGAGGTGGTGTATTTCGCGGGCAGTGTATTCTGCAGGTTGTGAGGGACCAAGGAGAAAGCCTTGTAGTTTCATTGCGGATGGTGGGAAAGAGCACGGGAAGCTCAGGATTTAGGATCCCATCAAGGTCTCCTTTAATGGATGCCTGGGACCAGGACAAATTGTCTGCCCAGGCGGGAATGAGTAAGAAGTATGCATGCAAGTTATGCAGGAGTAGACTCTGCTCAGGGATGAAGCAGTAAAAACCAAATTGGCTAAATAAAGATACTTAAAGGAAAAGGAAATTAAAATATAGGAACAATGATTTCTCTCTCTCTCTCTCTCTCTCTCTCTCTCTCTCTCTCTCTCTCTCTCTCTCTCTCTCTCTCTCTCTCTCTCTCTCTCTCTCTCTTTCTATGCAGCCACGTGATATATTTAAGATTTGTGCCTTCCCTAATTTGAGCTAACTGAGATTTATGGTGAGAATGACCAGGATGTGTAAAACTAAGAGTTCCGTTTCCTTTTCTGTTCTCTTTTCCTTGTCTATGGGTGTGTGTGTGTGTGTCAAAGTCTTTGTGTGTGAAGAAAATGTAACTGTTGGGTTACTCTAATCCAACGAGAAAAGAATTTTAAAATTCTGCTAAAAATCCTGCTTAAAATAAGCCATCAAAAGAAAAATACTTTCACTCTTATTCTGTCTGGCCAACAAATTAGAGTGAAGTGAAGAGAATTGAGTTCCCTTTTGCCTTCCCTTGTCAGCAGGGAATATTTTAAGTTTATTTAGAGGAAAAAGTTGTATTTGTACATTTTCTGTATGTGTTGTAAATGGGTTTTATCTGTCTATCCTTTTCCTGAAACATATGGTGTGTCTAGCTATAAGAGCCTCATGTGCTCAAGTTTGCTTGTGTGGGGAAATAATCTTCTTGTTAAGTTACTTTTCTTATCCTATCACTAATCAGTGAAACTACTATGGAACTAATCCTGGAACACATAAGCATTTATTTTCAATCTCTAATGTGGTATTTTTATCTAAATTGTGCATTGGTAATGCTGGGAAAAATGCTGTCATGATGTTTAAATATTTTGAAAACAGATATAAAAGGTAGACTCTTCTGCCCCTGGCAAATTGCACACCTTAAAATATTAGGCTTTTAAAATTATTTGGAGCTTTCAGCATTCTCAAGCTGCCCAGCATTTTCAAGTTGCAAGTCCTTAAGTCCTCTTTAACATGTTGCAAATGTTCAATTTCAGAAGTGAGACCTTTCATTTTTTTGTTCTCTTACCAGAATCCAGCCTCTCTTTTGCCCTCATCTGTGGTGTCCCCATTTTGTCTGCTTATCTGTTTCTTTAACAACTGCAATAATGTCTTTTCAAACTCTGTCTGTAAGCTACCCTCCCCCATCTACTTCTCCATTTCTTATCTTCTGTTCTACATGTCTTTGTATGATCCCCAGAAAGGGGAGAGGAGACCTTGTTCTCATGTCTTTCAGCCCTGCACAGATGACCCCCACAACCTTTGGAAGCAAAGCACACTGACCCAGATGCTGCCTCCATCCATCTGAGCCAGAGAATTGAATTTGAATCCAGCCATCTACTAGAAAGCCACATGCAACCAGATAGTGGAACAGATCTTCCCAAGTCCTACCATCCCTCTAGATGCCTGCAAAAGCTGCAAAGGAAGGAAGGAGTCCTGGAGCCATTGGCCCCCATGTAAAGCCTCAGAAGACAACAAGGAAAGACTATGGAGGAGGGTGGAAATTCGTTGTAAGGTTTTCTTTCTTGCCTCATTTGTACTGTAATAAGCCATTTGAATGTATTTATGGAGGGATGGCATTTGGGAATGGTTGGCACAGAAAGTACTGAACACCTTCAACTTCTGTCTGGTGGGAGAGAGAATTTGTCCAGGATGCTTGTATTGCCTGTTTTGTATGAGTAGCTATATACACAAACACACTCACACCATTCAGAATCACACTGAGTCTATTACCTTCACCTAGCCTTCTTGCTCTGTGGCATTAAAGCTTTGCATGCACAACTTCCTGTAAATTCCAAGGGGGAGGGAACCAGGCCCCCTCAAGCGATTTGCAATTCATATGTTCTCACTGAGGAGATAGCAGGAAAGAGATCTCCAAACCAAGCCCTGAATATGTTGCACTTGTGGACTCAGAGTGGGAGTCCTAGGGCTCACCGTGTACAATTTAAGAAAAATTAATAGGCTGGTGTGCACACTGGCTAACCTCAATTGGACATCACAAACCTGGATGCACTGAACTGCAAGCTAAGGCAGGAAACAATTCTTGAAAATGGGCAGCCAGTGGTTATGTACTCAGGCAAACATGGCTGTGAATAGTTTTGAAGAATGTGCAAACCTTACTGGAAGCTCAAAGTGACATCCAACATTTGAAAATAATTGGTACAGAATATTGGACACTATAATTTTTTTTCCGCCTAACAGAACTTTTGCCCTGATCTTAGATCTTCATGGCTGAAAGGCTTCCCCTTTTTGTGAGTCAATGCAGGGATCTTTTTCTGCTGCCTTTATTAGTGTCTTCTCCCTTTTTTTGCATTAACAGTTTAAAATCTTGTTTTCCCACATCCTGGAGCTCTATAGAAATGCCTATCAAGTCTCCTTGACCAGATCGCATTTTAATCTTGTGCTAGTAAAAGTGTGTTACTCACACTTATATGGCACAAAGAGGGGATTGTGGGAGGTCACCCAGAGAAAGAAATATTTTGGGGAATATTAAAAAGACAGAATATATATTCCCCCAAAGGCAGAAAAGCAAGCCCAGTTTTTTTTAATAGCCCCAAGCAGAAACTAGGCAGAGGCCAGCTTTTAGAAATGCAGATGTGATAATCCTATTCAGGAGGGTTGAGTTAAAAGTGATGACATTAGGAAGACAAAGACCCCTAAAATCTACACACCCCACAAACTCTAAAAGACATGATCTTTGGGGACATAATAGGATTAATTCACCAATACCAAAAGGGCATACTCAGACTCAGGTCAAAGTACATGACAGAAGAAATACAAAGCCTCAAACAGGAACAGGAAACAACCTCAAGAGCCCCAGAAGGTATAAAAACCCTCCACTCCCAGCAACATGTGGTCAGTTTTTCCCAGAGCCATCTTTCTGTCTGGCTCTCATCTTCAATAAACTTCAACCTTCTTTCTAAAACAGTCTCCATTTTGTTTATTCCCAGCTTGGACTGGACCCTGATGAAGATTTTTCTTTCAACAATACTGAGTACAAGATTTCCAAATGGGAATCCCCTTTTTAAAATTCTGCAGTGTCTAATTACATGTATCTTAAGTTTATGCTGTGTTTACATTTATTAGCACGGACACTTTTTTCCTTCCTATTTGATAAGATATGTGGGCCTATATGAGCTCCTCTATATAGTTGTAATTTTGCTTGGGAAAGTAACTAGGAACTCCAGACCTACTTGATCAGGAAAAAGAAAGGAAAAGGGGGTATGGTTATTTGGTACAAGCACAGATGTTCTTACCTGGTTGTTCTGGTATCCCGCAGTGCTGTAGCAATATACTCAGACATGCGCTTCTCCATCAGGGCCACACGAATCCACGCCCGGCCCTAAAACAGAAAGTTTGCTACAACAGGCAGCACTACAAAAGTTGTTCATAATAAATGTACAGATTTATATCTAGTTCAACCTGAATCTGTACACGAAGTAAAGATAGCGAGGAAAAAATCTAAGGAAAGCTGGATGACAACCAAGTGAAGGTTCCCATTGTGACATTAAGTAACTTAAACCAGTGCTATTTCCTAATACATATGTTTTAGAAAATCAGAATGTCTTATCCTCTCCAAAGTTTTTGCCTTCTAGATAGTCCTCAACTTATGACCATTTGTTTAATGACCATTGAAAGTTGTGACGGTGCTGAAAGATGTGAGTTACAACCAATCCTCATGCTTATGACCATCATAGCATCATCACAGCATCTTTATAGTCACGTGATCAAAATTTGGGCACTTGGCAACTTACACACACACACACACACACACACACACACACACTGATATCAGTGTCCTGAAGTCATGTGATTGCTATTTACGACCTTCCCAGGCAGCTATTGACAAGCAAAGTTAATGGTCGAAGCCAGATTCCTTTAACCACAGCAAAAGAAGTCATAAAATTGGACACAAATCACTTAATGACTATATTGCTTAGCAATGGAAATTTTAGCAATGGTAACTTTCCTGTTTTTATAGAATTCACTTTCTGACAAGTTATATTTAAGTTGATAGGTTCTTCTCTCTCCTCCACCTCCCACCCAGCTTTTACTCAAATGGACCTGCAGCCACAGAAAGAAATTTCAGAAAGCCATGGCCTTTTCTCCATCATTTCCCTAGAATGCTGGTATGCAGACTGATTGCACAACGAAGATAGCTGACCTATGGAAAAGGAGAAGGAGAAGGAGATCCAGCTCTTGATCTTACCACAGGCCCACTCAGAAATAAGACTGAGAACAAATAGAACTGAGGGGGGGGGGGAGAAAGAAGAGATCTCTCCATTCTCAGCCGCCTACTCTTTTAGCAGGAATGTAGGAAAAGAGAACAAATGGGTTCCTCTTTCTTGATCTGGTGATTTTCAAAAGTGTTCAAAAGTTTTTGGAGGGCTTTTTGTTCTCTCCCCACATGCTGTGCCTGATGTGTGGGACCAGGAGGCTCTGCAGCACATAAAAAGCCCCTATTATCTTTCTTTTGTTGAGTTGCAGTAAAGCTAACATGTTTATCCTCACACCTCAGTGCCGCCTAAGGAAGGGAGACTCAATTTACCCCATTTAAAAAAATACTGGGAGTGCCCAAGGCTATCATGGGGGTAGGATGTGTGTGCTATTTATGTATATGTCAACAATAGTAAAAGCACTTGCAAGGTGGATGCTGCACAGTCAAGACCCTGCCACTGTGGTGCTTTGGTCATGGGCATGGGATGGCAATCATTATGTTGACTTTTCCTACCTTTCCCTTCCCAGCATATGTTTCTGAGTGTCAATATGCAATCCTGGAGGATGCCCTAGGCAGAAATCTCAGTTATGACAGAACATTTAGGCCATAACCTTTAAGTCTATTTTCTTACAACAGGATATGGTAGCTCTATCATAAATAAATATAAATGACAAAGAACTCATAGAAGAACTAATGATTGCCTTACTATTTCTACCTCGGCTGGAAGCAGATTCTTCATCAGTTCTCCATATCAATACAACTACTTAATCCCACAGTATAGACATCATTCTCAGAAAAGATGCTGCCAACCACATCTCTGTTTCCAGACATGATGAGTGTTCAATGACTCATGGGAATCTGAACCCATGATTTTCATTAAGATAATTCACACAAAGTGGTGTTTCTATTGGTCACAAGTAACCACTAGAAACACACAGAAATTCAGGCAACTCATCTGTTATGTAGACATAACAGAAGACCCCAGACAAATTAAAATAAAGCAATGGGTTATTAAAATTAATAAAAAATAAAATTTTATCTCTCTTTAATTTGAAAAATAAGATACTTAGCTCTGAATCTTTAACTTTATTGGTAATCAAGAGTGAGCAATTCAACCACTAAAGATTGCATTTAGTAATAATAGTGAGGATCAAATATGATGGAAAAATTGAATAAGAGATAAAAGCTTTCCATAAGTCATCCATTGGGAACCAGTATTGGCCCAAATTAAAAACAAAACTCCATTGACCTGATTTTTACCTATTTTTTAAAGATTCTTCTCAGCAATCTTTATCCTGCAATTCAAATTCACATCAAATGCAGGTATATCAAATATTGTGGATACCAGAATTCCTTTCTAAATGTTTTATTATAGTTGTGCCTCAGACAAAAATAGAACATTGTCAAATGATTTAGAAAGATAGGACTAATATCAAGCATTAAGTATTGGATTAACATAAGAGGAGGTAATGTGTCCAACTTTAGAAAGAAATAAGAGTATTTTTTTCCTGTTCAAGTATTTCCATTTCAATCTTCTGAAACACAATGTATACCAACAATATGGACTACCGAATTTTGGTACATCCTGGAGCAATGCAGCATAGATAAATGATTTTTAAAACCATTATTACTTTTCTTCCTGCTTCTGCTATCTGCATATATAGTCAGGTGCACAGCAGCAAGGAAGGTGAGCTGGGTCAAGGACAGGCCCAAAGGATTTTGTCAAGTGAAGTAAAAATCAAGATCTTTCCAATCCCATCCCACATATAGAAATAAACTGGCAATTGAATAGCAACCTCCATAGTGTCGAAAGGCAACATGTTAGCTTGGAGAGTTAGTGTAGGCTGTATAGCATGAACAGCTCTGTCTTCACACACCTGGCTGCCACTCACAACTGCCAACATATTTTGCCTGAAGTGGCCACTTAGCTATGTGTAATGCCAGAGCTGGCCCAACAGGGCTTCCCTCGGTCCCTGAGATCTTCTGACCTTAGCTCTGGAGGTACTTATGTTTTCCATGTTTTCAATACTACTGACGCAGTTATTTGGGACTTTGTTGCATGCCAGGCGGATGTAATCCCAGAAGCCACGTTGTCCATCAGAGCTAAACCAACTGGCAGGACCTAGGAGGAAGCAGGGAGGGAAGGAGGGGAAAGACTTGTAGTGTAGTGCAGACAATACTGATCAATAATGAATGGCTATCTATTAGTTGCTACTTGCCAAGGAGTCTAATCTTAAATCTATAATAGAAGCATATTAACATTTTTATGTATTCACATTTCTTCAACATCCCTAGTGTATTAAAATTTTCTATATCTAGTCTAGTCCATGACGAATATAAAGTACTTTGATTAACTTCTTTTATCAGAGTTCATCAGAAGACAGGTCTGTCTTTAATGGTAGATCTCAAAGCATATTGAAAAACAGCTATCAACTACAACAGGAACTACAAAACAATTTGATTGATTGCTAAAAATACAACACATATATAGTATTATAACAATTAGGATGAGCATTTTGTATAAATGTCAAAGTCAGATATACTTAACTCTAATTGTATATCAGATATTATTTAGAAGGTGGATTTTGAAGTTGCACCAGCAAACATGGTCATTCCCACATCCATTATTATACACAATGAGACAGTTACTGCCTGCCATCCCTTGGGAAGACTCATGGAAGAGAAAGGGGACAAGGCAGGTGATAACTATCATAGAAGCCTACTCAGATGTACTCTTTTCTCCTCTTTTACAGGGCTCCCACCAACTGCCTTGCAGAAAGAAGTGTATAGAACAGTTTTAGTTCTTTAAAAATAAATAAAAACATTTGTTTTTATTTGCCTTTAAGCATTTACATCCTATTTTTATTTTGTACAATTCAGGATAGAGTACATAACACTCTCATCCAGAATGACTGGGCCAGAGTTACCCAGCTAGCTTTTATGCCTAACAGAGGACAAGGATTTAGCTTCTTCATTTATAGTCCAGCATCTTATCCAAACTGACTATCGTGGGAGGACTGAAAGGTAGGACACAAATAATAATAATTAATAATAATTCAGAAATATAAATATTCTTGGCTGAAGGATCACTGCAGAAGTTAGCCTTTTTGCTTAAGCTCTTAAATACTCAGGGCCCTAAGATAACCATTAGAACTTCCTGGTTGCTTCTAATGGTGATCTATACATGACACAGAACTATGAATAGAATTAACCTTTGGTTTCATACAGAAGGATTTCATTTATATTTTTAGACTCATCCATCCATCAGATTCAATGGCTATCTCTTGACAATTATAATAACATATTTTCTTCAGTCTTTAAGAAAGCAATAATTCTTATTTATATCACGGATTGGATTGATAAGAGTGACCCTGAAGTAAACAGAGTTAGCAGTTTACCAATCAGTAGGATAAAATGCTATATTGCACTGAGACATATCTCTAGTTTATACTGTATGCTGAGTAATAATGAGAAATATGCAGACCAACCACTGTTTTATCAAACCACTGGTTTTTAAAGATACTTAAGCTCAGTCTTGGACATCTCAGATTAGATATATTGACATCAGGAGACTTAACATTACGAATTCCATTCTATGATTCTATTCTATATGTTTTTTTGTATCCTACCCTATGTTGGATACATAAGGAATCTGAAAGGAGATTTCTCTGTTTTACCTCAACATTATGCAGGCATCAGTCATGCATAGGCTAAGCAGTCAGGCATAAGCTTGGCAGTTTTTGCTTAGCTCCTCATATAAAATTTGCAGCGATGCAGATTAGCATCACCATCATCATCCTATTCATCCACAAGATAAGTTTATTTGACTTACCATGATCCCCTTTGAAACGATGGCTGAGTATATGCTCTAAAATTGCAGCAAAGTTCACAAACTCCTCTGATGAGTCATCAATGGGTTCTATCGTATATTTTTCCAATAAAGTCTTCACAGAAAATCTACAATTGAATGAAAAAAGGAAATATAAACAGAATTAAATGAGAAAAAGAAGTCAAATCACCAGGTACAGCTTTTCTAATTCTTTGTAAAATATGAACAAAAGACAAAATTCTTCCTTCTCCACAATGGGCTGATTCTTTGCTCAAAAAATAACAGCAGAAAGCTTGGGCTCAGCCTTAGTGAGATAGCTTTGAGCCTATACACTAACACTCATTATAGCCTGTTGTTCCCATGCTCCTTGCTCAGCAAATACAGCTTTTAGAAACATCATTCATGTCTTCCACAATCAGAATTCTGTGATGAAATGTAGTTTTGCATTTAAAAAATCTGCCTTAATCACTGATCATAAAAAATCCTGCTATTTAGGAAATGGAGAGCTGGAGACTTCTATTGAGGATCCTAGGGGTAGAAGTGCTGTTCAGATTAGTGAAAGATAACTTGGCCTATGTAAGCACATGGGATGGGGGAAAGATAGATCACTGGGTCAGGCTTCAGGTACTGTAAACTCATCTCCTCCCAAATTGGAATAATTTCTCCTTAACAGATGACCAATCTAAGCTTTCCTATATTTATGTGTTTCTTTGTTTTTCTCCTGTAAAATGAGGGCAATTTGGATTAGTCCAACTTCCACCTATCCTTATTTGGAACAAACATAAAGATGATCATTTAAATGTGTTCCTGGTATGAATTTTTAATTACTGAATTTCTTGCAAATGTATTATGTTTCAATAGTACTCCTATCAAGCAAGCAGCTTTGGGAAAATTATTGAATGGATTATTTGTTATACCCAGTAATGACTTTAAGCAGCAGTGCATTAAGCAATACTTGAAAGTTTCTGATATAAATCTGTTGAGACTTATAGCCATATCTTTAAGTATATAAATACTGCTTAAGCACTCTGTTGCAAACTAATATTGGGATATTGGTATCATATACAAATTAAGTTGTTAATAGAGTAGCTGTTGCATTTCCGTATGATTCGCTTCTCTGACCATATTTTTTCTGAGTTTTTCGGGATGCTGGGTAAGATGTAGCATCTGAGATTGATCCCTCTTTAAAAATTACTCATCCTCAGAAGTGGCTACCAATAGCATCTCTGCATGAATCACCACTCTAGGCTGGCTTTCCACCAATCAGAAAACTTTTCCATATAACTGAATGATAATAATTAGAATTCTGTTAGGGCAGATAATTTCTATTTCTCTATATGTTAAAAATAAACTCTTTTAAATGCAAAGCAAAGTTTGTGTACAAACAGTCACATAAAGAATTCCTCAGCTTTCAGGGGTCTGAGAAACATACCTTTTATTTAGTGTTTCACTTTTCTGCATTTTACAACTTCTGCTGTAATAACTTAATTAAAGTATATTGTATTTTGATGTATTTTGCTTCTGTTTGATGCTCAAACGGCATATGTTATACAACATTAAATGCATTGTGTAATAATTAAATATTATAGTCTGTAAATAAACTTTGCAGCTACTTAACTAGGTATTCAAGTATGAATTAGACAATCAATCCTAAGTTGTAGACTTTTCATCAAAAGTTCACACAAAATAATGCGAATATCAGGAAAAAATTAGAACTCTGGGAGAGCAAAGAGGAACTCAAAATGCTTAGTAATAAAAATAACATATTTGGCCATTAAATATGCACCTGAAATTAGTCAGTTCTATCTAATAAAGGCTAATATCAATTGATAATCCCAAAAATTTTGGAAAACTGAACATCTTTCTTGATTTTCACACCTTCAATTATTCCTTGGATTCAATTTGGTTGCTAACCCGATCTCCTAATTGACCAAAACTCTTATAAAAGTTTTTTGGGTCAACCCAGTTTGAAAGGAGCAGGTGTGTACAATGGTATGGCCGAAAAATCTATTGGAGTTGGCAGTTAATAAGGATCAATCAATCAATAAAGACTCCTGATTCAAAGCAATATAAAAGATGACTTGATCTACTGACAGTTAGCTTCCTGTGATACATTCGGCATTAAACTCATTCAGAATGTTCCTTGCTATTTGCTTTTCTCCCTGTTTTGCATAGTATTTGCAACTTAATTTGCAAATTTTAATTGGCTTTTCATGATCTCTTATCTATGCTGTGGCTGCAATTCCTAAAAAAATATTCCTGAAAGTTCCATGAAAACATGAAATGAAAGCTAATTGAAAATATGTTTTAAGTGATTCAAAATAAGCATCGGAGCTGTTTAAACTTTTAAAATTATATGGAAATATGTGTGAAGCATCTCTTTTCATATTAGAGAAGCTTCATCTTTTTCCAGGTTGATATGAAAGATTTGCACAGCCCAGAAAGCAATGAGTGTTTTTATGCATTTCTAAACTTCTACATTCTGTGAACTACCTAAAGATTGAAAATAGTAACACCAAGATTATCTGACCAAATTCTCTTTAAAAGTCAGAGTTCTCTTTCTTCAGAAAGCAAGTAGTTAGATGCTCTTAGAAAAATAATGATAGTGATATCTATCCACTCCTAGGCATCTTGTCACCCAGAATATAGATTATTACCATGTCAAAGTAAGTGAAACATAACTCTGTAATTTATCTTCAGTGGTTTGGCTGAATATGCTCAGAGAGTACCTTTCTGAATGTTGCTGATTAATTTATCAATCGAGTATTTATCAAGTTTCTTAACATAAACACTTATTTTAAAAAGTAAAATGAAGAGAAGGATGGATAGTATTAATGAGTATCACAATTTCTCATTCCTTAATGCAACATTCAGAATGTAGCCTTTTCACAGAATTGATTCCCAAAGGTAAGGAAAAAATAATTAGTACCTGTTCAAGATTCTCCACAAAGCCTCTCCCCCCAAAAGTACACTTTGTATGCCAATATTCTTTCTGTGGTATTTTTGTTATCAAATATGTCTGTCATGTGGACAAAAAGAGAGTTATGCATAAGACTAGCCTTATGTGTAACTAGCTAGATGATGGTCTTCTTTGAATTCAATGGAATTATGGCCAGTTTAAATATTTGCTGATAATGTTTGGATCTTATCAGTCAAGATTATCTACTCTTTTTTCTTTCTTCTAATTTATGTAAGCACTATATAAATTAAGAAAAAGAGAATAGTAGCAAAAGCTTGTGTTTAAAAATGCTTCCTGTAGATTTTTTTTCTTCAGTGGAAACATGAATACTTGTATTTAAAAACAGTGTGAATAATATTGATTTACATCCATCACCCAGAGTTTATTTCCTCCTCCTAAATTTAAAAGCCCTGATTATTGATATTTGCTTGTCTAAGACAGATGGGTTATAATTTATATTTTAGTCAACAATTGTGTTGGCTAGAAATATTGGAAAGATAATAGACTGGAAAAAGCTGTTCTCATCATTTTAGCTCCCCATTTTCCATCTTCTCCACCTTTGCTCCTTTCAGAAAGTTAGAATGATCAACATTCCATCCAACTTTCCAAAAACAATAGAATAATTTTGTATTAAAAGAAAACCCATTCAATCCTAAAAATAAATCTGTTAAAGTGATCTTCCTTCACTTCATTTGGAAAAACAAAAAGCACAATCTCCCAGTCACCTTGTTGAATAAAAAGTACAGAGTACTTTGGAGGCAGGCCATCAAATTCTGGACAGTCCCAGGAAGGAAGAGGCATGAAACTTTGGTTGATTCCAAGATACGGTTGTTCACATTTATTCCTCTTTCTGTGTAGTTGACTTTGACAGATAATCAGTGGTCATCTAGTCTTTGGTGTCAGATATATGGATTTCATTCTAATAGAAGAGGCCCATTGTCTCCTCTGCTTTTATTTCCCAAACTGTTTTTTTTCTATTGTTATTATTTTAAGCAAGTCCATCTGAATAAAAACATTAACCTTCCAACAAAAGCTGCACCATCTTCTCCCTGCTTCAGCAATGCTATTGTGATATAGGTTGAATAAACTAGAAGGTTTCTTCTTCTTCTTCTTCTTCTTCTTCTTCTTCTTCTTCTTCTTCTTCTTCTTCTTCTTCTTCTTCTTCTTCTTCTTCTTCTTCTTCTTCTTCCTTCTTCTTCTTCTTCTTCTTCTTCTTCTTCTTCTTCTTCTTCTTCTTCTTCTTCTTCTTCTTCTTCTTACCTTTTGCTCAATGCCTTTGTTGAAAACGAAGATTGTTGCTATAGCAGCTGCCCGTTCCTCCTCCTTTTCTCCTCCTTTCCCTTCTACTGCTCTACAGTGATGTCATTTCCCAGATTTCATATCTCCCTAAATGGATGCCCATAGCATTCTTCTGTCAACATTGTTTCCAAGAGAGCTCCTTCCTTTCCTTGAGAAAAAGAATGATATATAAGAGATTCCAATATTGAAAGTCCCTGTGACTTTCTGTTTCCTGTTTCTTTTTTTCTTTATGAAATTCAAGTTTTGATGTTTTTGGTTCTAAAGGGCAGCAATTCACTGTAACAACTGAAAATTACAGATAGCCTTTCTCTTGCCTCCCAGAATTTTCCACCTTGCACTGGAGCTGCAATTCCAGCTGACAGTTTGAAACTGTCTCAGCTAACTGATTGCTTTGTGAATGAAAATAAGGTTTTCAAGGCTGAAAATAGCTAGGCCAATATAATGTATGGTATTTTCCTTAAGTCTACTGGCCATGTGGGAGAATCTCCTAAGTTATTAAAGTCTACAGATTAAGGATATATTTCTGGAAATCACAATTACTTTGAATTTCTAATCCATAATTTGATATGCTGAAAACATAATGGAGGATGTACTGGACTGAACCTCATTTCATTCCCAATTAACATGTCCATTGACTATGCTGAGTGGAGTGATGAATAGTGTGGCCCATCTTCTGTTAATGTCTAGTGCCTTGGGAGTGTACACAACCATTGATATTTGTTTCCCCCCCTTTTTTTACTTTTAATTTGCTTGTTTGCCCAACCTAGCCTGCTGTCTTAGATCTCTTGAATTCCAATCACCCTGATTGTTTTTTCTATCACTCAATATAGTATTTTCACCATTTAACTTTTCTACCCCTACCCCATAGCACTGAATATTCATACTACCTATGTAAAATATGTGTGAAACATTGTGTAAGTCTTTTGCCATTTCCAGACTTCTTTTTTTCAATTTTTTTAATTAAACATAGAATTAAAATATTGAGAAATGGCACCTTTCATTTCCATCTTGCCCACTAATCTGGCCTTCGTTCCATCTTTATCTTAGGGAACATGCATGCGTGAATAGCCTTTTATTCAGTCTGCTTCCATCCCCCACTCCCACCCCCACAATGAAAGAGTCTCTTACCTGCAGACGGTAATCAGGTTTTTCCTTTCTACTGAAATGTTCCGGGAAGAGGTTTTCTTGGAGGACAACCCCAGCGCCATGGTGGACCGGATACAATGTGGTTCCATCCAGGGGAAAGATGCTCTCAATAGCCCGGGTGGTGTCACTGCTACCTCTTCCTCCTCTTCGTCCTCTTCCTCCTCCTCCCCACCCCCTCCCCTCCCCCTTCCTCTTCTCCCTATTTTCCCCCAGAAAACAAGGCGTTGGGTCAACCTCCCCCAAGATCGGATGGTTCTGAAATATCTCCCTCCTCTCTCTCTTCCCCAAATTAGCTCCAGCCCCCTTCTTGGATGGTTCGGAGAAAAAAGCAGTAAAAGCCGGACGAATGGCGACAGGGGAGGAAAAGGTCGGGAGGAGCTCTCCTTGGTGCTGATGGAAATCAGGGTCCTCCTCCTCCTCCTCCACAGAGGAAACCAGCCCCTTTGCCAATGACGTGATGCCCGAGGATGGGAACAGTCGGCGCCGGCGGAGAAGCCAGGAACGGGAAGGAGGAGAGGCGGCGCCTCCCGTATTGGTGCTTTCCAGTCATTTCATGCAGACATTTCAGCCGTGCACAGAGCTTTCCAGCCATAGGTCTTCTGCACTTAGGAACTGTACTGGGTTTGTTTGCGATTTTTCACTGCAAACAATCTCAGTTTTGCAAGAATTAAAATCAGCATAAACTGAGATATTTTCTCACCGAAGTTGTTAAACAAAAGGATAAATCCACACTTTTTCCTCCTGGCAGTGATTCACATGGGATAAAATTGACAACCGTGCAAAAACGAAGTGTGAAAGTTGAAGAAATCATACTGTATTGTTTTGCACACCACATAAAGCTATAATGCGATTTGCTTGAGTTGCAGGTGTTGTATATGCAACCATGGTTCACCATGACTCTGGGGTTGTTTTATTTAACAAACTATAGTTACAAATTATAGTTTAGATCATTGCAAATTCAGCAGTTTTTCTTCTTTCCTACCTCTATTTCATTCCTCCTCTGTTGATTCCCTGTCTGTATGAAAAAGGGTTCTTCATAAAGTGCCATTTTTATAGCTGGCATTTTATACATGTAAGGATAATGACAATGTGTCATCTACTAATTAATTAGTAGATGACAATGTGTCATCTACTAATTAAAGCTCATAAATTCTGCATAAGAGCATGAGGGTGTAAATTGAAGAGCTTCTTAACAGATTATTAGAATTAGATTTTCCAGTTTTTTATTTGAGTAGATCACTAAATTTATCTTATTTGTTCACATTATCTGTGATGAAGTTGAAAAAAATGGCCTTTTAAGTCAGATAATTAACCAAGATGTTAGATGAAGTTAGAAGAGAAAAATAGCTTGAGCTGCTAAACTTTTTGTTTTATGTCCTTTCATACAGAGCAAGACAGAATTCATATTATTTTAATTTGGCTAAACAATATTTTAATTTTGCTAGACAAAGGGCAACTTAATGTGGTTATCTACTAGATGTGCTTTGATACATTTTAATTATTGTTAATTTTTAGTGGAAAGTTTCTGGTGTTGGTCAAATACAAAATTAATTACATTTATTTGTAACCTTTATTAATTCTAACAATAATGACAATACATCTATAGGAAAGGCAGCATTTATGAAGTGCATTTATGCAGTAATCTTACTGAATTTTAAAGAAAACATAGAAACTTTGGCCATTCGTTAAGTTTAACTTTGTATAGCTGCTCAGAATCACTGCTATGAGAAGAGTGACCATATAAATTATTTAAACACATGAATAAAATGTCACATTTTCAAAGTAGGTAAATGAAGGTCAGAATCTTGACCAGCTCATCTTCAGAATCCAGCACTCAAGCCAATATTTGAATTAAAAGGTTTCATTTCTAAGCCAGTGATTCTATGCCCACTAACACGGAAATAAGTTTCTCTATATTCAGTTAACCTTTTTTTGAGCATAGACATGTTGGACAGTGTGCTATAATTTTGGAGTAATGTATGAAGCTTATAAACCATCCAATGATTGCTCACAAACTTCCTTTCAAAGAGAAGCACTGTTGCTGGACTTAATTACCTCGTTCTGGATTCTTTAGAAAAATTTCTCTCTCTTTCTGCTGCCATGCATTGAATTTTGAAGTTGAGTCAGAATTCTGGGAAACAAATAAGTAAAAACATTCTCAGGTCAAGGACTACTTCTAGTGATTGCATCCATTCAGTTTTCTTGGCAGTGGTACAGAAGTGGTTTGTCACTGCCTTCTTCCAGGATTTTTTTTTTAACGTCTCAATCTACTTTCTACTCTGGAGTTCCTAAACAATACTAATCAAGGCTAACCTTGCTTAGTGTCTGGGATAAGTAAGTTGGGTAAGTGCTGTCAGCTAGTAGACACAGAGGGACAAACTGGCTTCATTAACATATTCACTGTAGTTTGTTTATTTTCATAGACTACACACAATAGCAATTTACATTAGATTTTTGTCTCTATGTCTAAATTACTTCAACCTTTCCCAACATGAGGCTTCCATATGGGCTAGGAATTGAAATACCCCGAATTGATAGCAATTATGCCAATTTGGATTATGGATCTATTATTCCAGCATGTGAGATCACTAAAATCGAGGAATCAGAAACGGATTATGTAAAGATTTTCAAACTTTGTATCCTGAAGTAGATATTTTCTCATTTTCTTATGTGCTGTACTTGTCTTCTATGGAATACCTATGAAACAAAGAAGATTCTGTATCATATTGATAATACACATCCCCTTTACACTCATTCTGACTCACTTTTACCTTGATGTTCTCAAAAAGCTAAACAGGATTAGACCTAGTTCGAACGCAAATTGTGGAAATATTGGGGATATAAGAATTGTAGGTTAGACTGGGCAGTTGAGAGAAACATCCTGGAAAAATGGCAACACTATTTTCTTGTTGCCAAGGAAACTATAAAGATATGAATCCACCAGAGCTCAGCTCATCTTGAAGAACACTTTAATTTATGGCGTATAAAATTAAAAATGCTCTTGACAACATGACCAACTCTCTTTTGAACCAAAGATTAGTAAAGTGGGCTACTTCTTAAGAAAGTTTGATGAAAACTTTAAAACTTTTTCTACTCTCACTGTTACCATCCATTCCAGCTCCTCCACTGTTTATGCACATCTGTTGTTCCAATGCAGAGACAATCCCTGAGAACTCTCAGATTATTAAAGAAAATTAATAAGATATCTTGTAAATAATCAGTGGGCTAACATTTGGTTCTTGATAGGTCCCTGAAGTCCATCAGCCCTAACAAAGCAGAGCTAACAGTGATAGATAATGGAAGTTGCTGGGCTCTCACTTTACATATCCCAAGTCTTTAAAGCTACTTTTTGTACATACTGCCTGCTTTTGAAAATCAGAACCTTTGGGTGAAAAGGTCATTTACCCATTTCAAACAGAATTATGAAGAACACTATTTTAATGCTTTGGTAAAGAGGTATTTGATTAAGTGAGAGGCAATCCATTCCTGTGATTTTACCAATTGGCTGCATTAAAGTCAGGACACCAGAGAAAAAACAAATAAATTGGAAGTGCTTGTCAGATTAAAACAAATATAGATTCATTTGCTTTACATTTATTGTCCTGCAATCAGGCTTATGAGCTGCAAAATATTTTCCCAGATCTGCAGTTTAACACATAAATGTTTTTCTTTGACATTTGATTATTTATTTATTTTTGATTATTTTCTTTGTACAAAAAAAACCTAGGCTAAGCTATTTGCTGTAAGCTGGTGAAGATGTCTATATTAATTCTTATCTCCTGCTCTCTGCAGGTTGGCATTGGTAGAATAAGAGGAGAATAAGGAAATAATCAGTCCTCTCAGATGTAGGGAGGGATTCTGCTTTTGTCAGCTGAATCGTTCTAGATAAAGCAAGGCAACTTAAATGGAAAACTTAACTTAGTGGAAAAACCACCGATCTGTTCCAGTGCTTTGAACAGTAGTTTGTTTAAAATGTTGCATGGAAGCAATGCATGTAAGTATTTCCACATCAAGCTATCAATAAAAATGCAACAATGGAAATTAAGCAGAAACTGAGCAGAAATTAAAACTGGCTACCTTAACATTCACAATGATCAAGAATTAGATTACTGGGGTTAGAAGGGATAATTCTGAGAACTTGGGTCACTTGTACTAACATTTATGTTTTTCTTAATGCAATCCAGGTTTAATAATAGCCTGGGCCCCAAAGTCTTTCTTGCAGTCACTGAGAACTAACAGTCAGCCTTCATGTGTGGCAAAGATTCTGCATCCACAATACTTGCCTATCGATGGCATGGGGATGATAATCCTATAATAATTTGCAGTTTCAAGATTTGGAAACTCCCTTCCTCCCTCCCTCCCCCTTTCACAAATTAACCCACAGCAGTATCCCAAAGCAGGGATTACTGGTGCCAACAATGTTGCAGAGAAGCTGAGGAGAAGCAACCAGGGAGGATACTTGATTCTGCTAGACCTGGCTGTCTACTGAGAGATAAAGCAGTTACTGAAGGAGGGAATGCTCTGAGATAGGCCTAATCATAAAGCACTATCCACTGTAAAAGACAGCTAGAAGCACCACCCAAATCCACCCCATCCACCTACACACTATCAGGTGCCAAATAGGTGCCTCCTATCATTCTGTAAGAGGGTGGTTTTTTTTTTTTTCACATATCACAAGGAAATTTTCATTGGCCCAGTTTTCTTGGCATATTTTAAAACCCTCCAATGACAGAGTTCCTCGTTTGCTTTCTCACAAAGATTCTAATGGTCTGAAGAAATCCACTTCAGCCAAATAGATGTTAAAGAAGTCTGCTACCAAACAATGTATTGAATACTGTGACTCAGTCAATCTGATATTCAGTGCCACCCACTCTGATTCCTGGGTCTCATCACTGCCTCCATAAAACTGTCAGGTCACATAACAGCAGTGTCAGAAGAAACAGCATATGCAAAATCCAACTGTTACATCCTAAAGCTTTTGGCCAAGAATATAGCTTGCTCCAAAGTCTGATGGAAGAGTCCTGAGCCTTTATGCTTTGAAGATGAATTTTATATTAATTTGGGAGAGCATTATTAACCATATAGGGAATAATATTAAGGCTCTCTATATATGAGATATTAAAATGTTCAATTAACAAGTGTATTTTGCTATGATAAATTTAATAATTCTTTAAAGTTTGTGTTTTAATTATCATTTAATATCTATTTTAGATTAAATCTTGGAAGTCTAGAAATAGGATTTGTTATTTCTTTCAAATAAAGAATACAAAGTTCAATTTTTAGTGCTCCATGTTAGTGTCCATTGCAATCTAATAACCAGCAAATGTCAATGAAAGAGCTGCATATTTCACAGGGAGCAGCATCCTGCATTGAGACTGTGGGGAAAAAATATTAAAGAACACAGACATTCATTTATACACACATACACACACACACGGGTACGCATATACTTGACTGAATGACTTAGTATTTACATAAAGTAGTTTAACTATATTTTACTAATTTAATATAACTAAGAGTAAATTTGCACTCCATTAAATGAAATTTAAACTTCTTATCCCTTTTGGCAGATAGGCCCAGACAGAGAAAGATTGTATGCTCTTTCTTTAAACAAGTTTCCCCAACCAGATTAGCTCTAAATGGATTGGGACTGCAATTCCCAATGCTTTTCAGTCAGTATAGATGCTGGCTGAAAGTCTGGAGGTTGTATTCCCATCTAGAGAATGCCATGCTCAGGGAAAGTGATCTAGCATTTTCTCAACTACACAATAAGTCAATTCAAAACCCTTCCATGTCTCCACATCTGACACTCTCAGTTTTTAGCTTCTCATTCATTCTAAGTGGTTAGAGAGCTTAAATAGATCCTGTCCTTGCTGGATCTCTAAATAATTGCTGCTGCTAAAAGAAGGATCTGCATTCTTACTCATGGATGTATAAATTGGATATTATAACAAATCATAAAATTATGGGAACCAAAATAGGTTCTCCTATTTAGTCTCACTGAGCTTTTCTACATGAGCAATTACATCTTATTTTAATGTGGAGTACCTAATTTGCTTATAACGTGAATTCTATTGATGTACTACATGTTTGTGGCTGAATGCTTATCCACATGTATATATGAAATATATCTGTGTCTGCACCAACAGAAGGTCACACAGCTGTGTAAGACATATTAACTGTATTAACTCTGTACCACAGAGCAGTGAACCTATCCAAATATTTGTGCATATATGAAGCTAACACTTATTATGTTTAATCTTAGATCCTCCTCAACTCCAAGAGAAAGTCAGAACTATGATAAGAAATTTACTGTCTATCTGGGAAGGAAGCTAAGTACTACTCCAATGCCAGATGCTAGCACAGAAAGTAAATATTTTCTACAGGAAAATAAGTTAACAAATTTAAACAATGCCATTCTTACAATATGATGGGACCAGAAGTTGCAGAAACATCCAGAATATTACTAAGCTACGTTTGGAAGAATAAAATATCAGATTTAATCAAAACATTAATGCTGTTTGTACTTTAACAGAGATACTTCCTAAAGTACCATCAGTGGGAGAAATAGATTTTGATTTTACAAAACAAGGTCTTTCCAATGTCCTATGTAAAGTAATCAGGCTGGTGCTATTTTTATGCTCTTATCTTGCAACTCTATCATTGTTACATTGCATTAATCGTTCCTTAATGTTATGTAAACTAATAAAATCACTTGTAGTTGGTTAATAAATAAAGACAAAAATAAAAAAATGTTTCAAGATCTTGCTTGCATAAATTAAAAATCCCACTGGTGAAATACAGTAAGTAAAGTCCAGGAAATCTAGCTGGGTAATAAATTTAGAGAAGCTCCCTGCACCGTTGGGATGGGGATATAGTTCCATTATTATAATATTTGGATTGAGCATGTCAGAATCATTGTTGTAAATTATTGTATATATTATATAGTTAAATATCAACCTATGGAAATCAAAAGATACCAGAGGTTACAGGGTACAATGTATGAGCAGGGAAAACTTTTTCAGTGATGAGCACACTGATAAGGTGTCTTTTCTGGGGTGACCCAACTTAATGGAGAGTGGCGTATTCCTGCATAGACAATACTCCTTCTCTGAGTCTAAGCTTAGACTTGACATTGCTCTATATTTCACAGTTGACAGAAAATGGCTTTAATTATAGCTGGTTGTTAAAAAAGATGGCTTTTGTAGAAATGACCTATTTCTATCCTTAAGGATACTTTAGTTATCAGCTAAATGGAAGTAGAATTTCCCCTCTTTCAATGATCTCTATCAATTTTACAATAAGAACTCATCTGATCTGTGCTTGTAATTTAGAGACAGGGTGGACATGGCAGATCTTGTGTATATAGACTATGGTGGAATTGTTCCTTCTTTCAAGAGAATGTTGTTTTATATTAATTAAAGAATAGTTCTGTAAAGTGCATCCATAGAGTTCATCTGAAATTACTGGGGTACAGAGAGATACAGTTCATGACCTATTCTCGTCTTTCCCCCATTATCTGAAATGTACTAATAGGACAGTTTTCTGGTAAACATTTCACCAAAAGAGTGCTACAACTTTTGGCAGGTACTCTGCTTTCTTCCCCAATCCCATTAGAACCAGGAAAGGGAATTTTCTTGAAACCTTTAAAGAACCTTATCTTAAAAATATGAAGTTGAGAAACTAATATGACTTATGGAAAAAGAGATAGACTTGCTGAGTCTTGCTCAACATTTACAATAATTTCTAAGGATGGTACAGCCAGTAGTAGTAAAATGGGAGGGGCATGCCATGAAAATTCAAGGAGACACAGATGGTTAGCAGGGAGGTAACACCACATGGTAATGCAAGATAATGTTGTTTACTGGCCCTTGGAAAATGGTAGAATCTAGAACCTCCAGAAGCATCTCAAGTGCCAGGTGGTAGGGCAAGATTAAAGAATTACCTATGAGTCAGGACTTAGAAGCTCCTCTAGAATATGCTGTCATCTCATTACTGACTCTTGTGGATTGGTGGAAACTAGAAGACAGGGATTCCATAGAGCAACAAAAAGCTACATGGCTTAGACTTTTGTTGTTTTCTCATCAAGAATATCCTGCAAGTAAATAGGTGAGTTAATTTTATGTTTTCGAGTTTCTATGAGCCAATGAAAGATGCTCAGGATATAGACAAAAACTGTAGTAGAAATAAAGGTCAATAATTGAGGAAGGAATATCATCTGCATTTTGGAAGTAAGAAGGACTGGAGGAACTCTCTTTAGTTAGCATTTTGTAGCTCCGAAAACACCAGTGATGGAAGATTTAGGCCCCTCTCATCCAATTCTTGCTGAACTACATCTCCCATCTCTCCCACCCTTGTGTCATGTGGGGTAGGGATAATTGGAATACAAATTCATATTGGGTGAGGATGATTAGATTCTAAGGTTAATAAAACAAAATTATAGGAGATATGGAGGATCACCTCTGAGCTTCTTTTTCACTAACTATTTGATCTTTGTCTTGAAATATTAGTGCTTGGAATGCTTTATAGCTGCAAAAGTTTCCTAGGGATTTTTGAGTTTTGAAACAAAGTGAATCTATTTTATGCTAATTCATATTAGTTTGGATTTATTGCTACACTTTTCTTCTCTTTTAACATTTTGTTCTTTTAAATGAATAGTCTCTATCTTGTAGCATAAGACCCATGCTTAGAACTTGGTTTATGTAATGCTTAAGGCATAGCTTTTATCTTTCTGGTTTATACAATAAGGGGAAGAAAGGTTTCTAACCATGAATAAAAGAATATTCTTTGTATTTAAATTGTATTTTATGGAGCTTTTGAGATAGCTGGAGAATATGATGATGAGCTGGTCTCTTCTGTAAAATATTTTAATAAAATATCAAAAATTGAGTTTCTGGAGAAAATAAAGGGTCCATCAAATCTGGAAATGTGTCTGTAGAGTATAATTTCTTTGATATTTCTTAGAAGTTGATAAACTGTTCAAGATGACATAATTTCTCCTGTCTCTCCAAAGCAATATACTGTATATTGTTTTTGACTGGACAGGGAGAAGATCGATTAAAGTTATAATGGTTAAAAGCTATTGATCCATCTATCTCCAATGAATTTGTCAACTATTTCTAAATTCATATAAACTACCTGCCACTCCCACATCTTGTGTCAATGAATTCTAGAAGCCAGAAATAATACCATACAGGAAGACATTAATTATTTTAATTCATCCAAATGTATGACATTAGATTAATTTGGATACTTCAGAGTCTAAAGTCTTCAAATAAATCATAAATCTCTATTAATTCTCTGTTATTAGAATCGTGTTTTTTATACTTTTGGGAATATTATTTCTCAGATGACAGGACTGGAATTGTTCAATACTGTTGCATTTAATAGTGATTGTGTTCAAATACTGATGTCCATTAATTAGTTCTTATGTTATAAACATTCTTACTTCTTTATATTTCTTCATATAATTGATGACAGAAATAGTGACAATTATATCACCAATGTCCCAAAGGTATTCTTAATTGCCTCTATGTATTAATTGATTAATTAAATTGCAAAAATGGTGCAAAGATAATGAAGCTGAAAATTATATTCCAATTGTGGTACTTTATAGAATAAGAGGGTGAAGTATTTGGTGGGGTGAAGGGCTTCTCTGTCTAGCAAAGGTTACACAGACATTTATCCAGGATGCTTTAATTTGGATTCCTATAGTGAGTTGGATTTGATGGCATAAATGGCCTCTTCCAACTCTATATTTATATGATTGTAAGTGGATTTTGCACTATAAGATGACTGGGAATCAGCCACCAGCTTGTACAGATATTAAACTCTGCTTAAATTACAAATTCAGCAATTGACATGGGACCCCAAATGAGAAAGTCTGGAGAGTTATCCCAAAAATGCTTTTTCACAAGGCAACTAGACTTCCTTGTTTTTTCTTTGAAGTTGTTTTACTTCTCATCCAAGAAGCTTCTTCAGCTCTTAGTGCATCACTAAATTTCTATGAATATTCTCAATCATCCGGGTCATAGTTATCCCAAAAATGCCTTTTCACTAGGCAATTGGACTTTATTGGGGTTTTTTTGAAGATGTTTTACTTCTTATCCAAGAAGTTGAAGAAGGGATAACTATGACCTGGATGACTGAGAATCTCCATAGACATCTGGAGAGTTATTTAATTCATAGTACTAATTCGTACATCATACTAAGACAGTTTTAATCAAATCTCAGTTTATTGAATAAGCTATAATTGATTGGATTTCTTATCACACTAAGGCATAAACTTGGTTTTATGAGTTACAAAGGTTGGATTTAGCCAACATATAAATGGCCATAGTAGCTGAGAGAAAGGGATTTATTGTCTAACCCATCCAAAGGATGCTGGTTTGGAAAGGCTTCTCTAAAGCCTTTCCAAATCTCACCAAATTCAGCCTTTTGGTTGCACATAGGCAATAAAAGGGGTTCTGCCTATCAGGAAAAGCTGAGACATTGCTGCCAATTTCTTACAATTTAATAAGGACCAGCCTAACCTGCACAGCAGAGAAAGATAATGCTTATCAGTAGTGCAAAACTCTATTACTTTAATCTGGACTCTCTGACTTGTTTGTAATGTCAAGTCAGATCAGCAATTATTTAAAACTACAAATTGCTGAATGGAACACAATATACAACTCTGCCTACAGAGCTTCTGTCTCTGTCTCTCTCTCTCTCTCTCGTTAAGGAAAATGAGAATTCAGATTGCCAAGCAAAGACTGAAAGAAATCATAAATGCAGTGATCAATTTCATTAAAAAGTCACAATGAATTTTTGTTAATGAAAAGCTCTCAGTTAGTAAAAGATTTTAGATCTAGGTAAGGGAGAAGAAAAATGGCATTTTCCATTTCCACACTTTCCACTCTTAGGAAGCCTGTCTTATTGGATGATGCTGATTTTCAGGGGAGGAAAGAAATATGCCAAATGTATAGTTTGATGAGCTTCTATGGGCAGAACGTGATAAATGATCAGGGACAAATATCCTTAAACATAACTTCCAAACTTAGCATTGCTACCAGATTTACCAGAAATGTACAATGTTTCCTGTGCATAAAATGAATGTAATTATACTGATAAAAATGAAGCGAAAGAAGTTTGTCAAGTACTATGTTATGATAGAAGCAACAACAAAAAAAAAGAATGGTTTAGCCATTTAATCAAGAGGGGGAAAGTAAATTAACTTAGAATGTGCATTGCACAGAAAAGACAGTGAGGCATAACTAAGCTACCATATCTGCCTCCTGATTATAAGGCAACTGTGTATCTGCCTTATATTATAAGGCAACTGTGTGAGTCTGCTGAGCAGTTTCAACGGTTCTTACTACAGTGCCCCCTAGTGTTGCAAAAAGCATATTGAAAAAGTGAACGATTATTAGAATTGCATGTCACAAACACACAGTCTTTCACCTCTAGGCACTGTAGATATTGAAATTTCTCAGCTAGAGGTTATAAGAAATGCATTTAAAATAAAAGGGTTGGTGTCATAATGTCTTCTAAATTCCCCTCTTTTTCTTCTGTTTATACACAACTGCACAATTTTTCTAGGCAAAAGCCTGAAAGAAAAAAAAAACCTAAATTCTATTTTGTCTAAATATAAAATAATAATTTGAATAAATTACCATGATTACTTAGTATGTATTTTATTTCCCTCCCCCCACAGACATGCACACACACTTCTGTTACATAATTACAACTTTTGGAGGCTCTCTCTCTCTCTCTCTCTCTCTCTCTCTCTCTCTCTCTCTCTCTCTCTCTGTGTGTGTGTGTTTGTGTGTGTGTGTGTGTGTGTGTGCACGTGTGCATGGGAGGGGTGCGCAGGAATGTCTGCCTGTCTGTCTATTTTTGTGTGTTATATGTCTCTATTGATTGTAGTAATGAAATTCCAATTCTTTTGAAAGGATTTTGTGATCAGATCCAAGTGCAGAACATACCAAATATGCTGATATGTATGGTTGTCACAGAGTTGCTTAATTAATGCATTTCAAGTGGCAAATTACCCTGAAATCTACCATAGGTAGATAAGTATTCTTTTTATGTTGCTTCAAAGCAATTTAACACACTCAATATCATCCATATGTATGGATTATAATTTTTCTTAAAATTATAAGATGCAATTGTTATAAAAGAAAAAAGACCACCAAAGCACAGATCTAGAATATTTTAAATAATAATAATAATAAGAAGAAACATCTACTGGTGGTCTATCTTTTGCTACTGAATAATCATAGCCAGTACCTGCATATTGGAAATTAGGGGAAATATTTTGATGTCAGAAAACTAATTCTATTCTCTTGAGCAAGTGATATTATAGCCCACAAGGGCTATTCTATAGAGGCTAAAATGTTAAGTATATGCTTTCTTTAAAGCTTAGACCTGTTTGAATGTAATGAGAGAGGCTGTTGCAAATCAATTTTACTATAAAAAATTGCCTAGCTGGGAGAACAACAGAGAAAATACTGGAATGCAATGGGCTGATAATGCTGTTATCTGGATCTGCTGTAAAAAATGAATGAAGAAGAGCAGTTGAGGGCCCATCCAGAAGCAACCAGAAATTGAATTAAAATAGTTTTCAGTTGGTTATATTTATTGCAGGACATAGCAACAATAACAACATATAATGATCACCATAGGAGTCACAAGGCACTGCTACTGAAATGGTTCTGGTCTTCTGCCTCTGTTTACTTCCACAAAGTACCCCAATATGTTAGTTTTATGTGGTCTGACTCAAAGAGTATTGCAAGCAATCTGCTCTACGATTTCCTTGAAGGTAGAACTGGGTTCCATGTCTCTAACTTCATAATTTATCTTTGTTCTTCTGCATTTCAAACTAAAACAGTCAACCAGGGAATGTTATCTCCAGGCTGAGCATTAGGAAGAGAACAAGAAGGACACAAAAGAGGGACCATAAGCCCAGAGGGAATGGCATCTCAGGTGAGAGAGAGAAAATAGGTTATTTCTACTTGCGTATGAGAAATAAGCCTTGAATTGGGAGGAAACTGCTATTTAATCAGCATCAAAGTTTGATGAATTGCTTAATACAGTAATATTAATATGTGTTTTTATAAGCGTATTTAATATTTTTCCCTCTCAAAGGAAGATTACGAATCTGGAATTAAGGCGAAACTTGACCTGGAGGCGTATGGAGACTCTTCATTGAAACAGTCTAATATGTCACTTGCAAGTGGAGACAGTGAGTAATTCAAATCAATTGAAGAAAAGAGCAGAAATCTTTGAGGGCAAACTTGTCGTATATTGTTGGATTGTATGATGTTGCAGAAATTTTGGCATGATTTAGGATTCCACTTTGTACATCTGAATATGTTTAATATAGATGTTATTTAGAAATTGGATCATAAGTTGATCCCTGTTTTAAAGGAATAGTCATATAGGCTAAGCCATATACCCAGACATTTGAGAATGTGCCCACTGCTCCAGCAAACAAGATGTGTCAGTTGTCACTTACTGCAAACTAGTTCTGGTGAAAAGGGATTCTCAAAGAGAGCAATACTATACGAAAGGAAAATGTACCTAAGGCCAACTAGCATATCAGGAGACATTCTCTTCCAAAGGTTCATCGACTGCAGTTGTCAGTCAGAGAAAGATATCTCGGTTGAAGATTTTAAAGAAGCTGCTGCACAATAACTTCAGATTGTGAGAAAATGAGGTCTTTAATGATATACCAGGAAGCCAAAAGTCTTGGGTAATTTAAGTCCAGTGAAATTAATGGATTTTAAATTAGTCATGACTAATATAAACTTCATTAGGTTCAGTTAAGTATGAAAATATTTGAGTCCTTCCCTTCAATCTAATACACTGAATTCCCCCCTCCCATTCCTCCAGTAATGTGTATAGTGATGCATAGTCCTTTACTTAAAATTGGTACATCAACTCTGTGTTTAAGGATCTTTCAGATCAACCTCTGGAATGTGGGATTGGATCTGGTCCCCACAGACCTACTATGATGATATTTGGAAAGAGGTGAAAAAAGTGACATCTGGATAGGACTGTGATTGAATAAGTTACTTACTCAGTTTTTCCTCTTAAAGATAGATTCTAAATGTGCTACTGGCTCAGATTCATGAAGAATGGGTTTGGGAAGATAACTAAGACTATGAACATGCTTGTAAACTCCAATTTGATGTGGGGCAACATCTTTACATCTCCAAAAAGTAACCAGAGGACTTTATTACATTATTATGTTATTTTTAAAATAAATGGGTGACTTACAAAACTAAATACAAAATACAACATTTTACAATATTGTAAAAAAAAAAAAAAAGAATGTATCTATACATCCACTTCATTGGCCTCACCCGATGAGGCAACCAGAAAGCCTATACATTTATTCTTTTTCCGTTCATTCACAATAGAAAGGAAAATTGCACACTGTGGAAGACTATCTTGAAATCCGAAATTGTTTGACCCCCCATATCATAGTCCAAGTCTGGATTGGAGCTTTTAACCCTATCCACCATTTTAAAAAATATATGCCCTTAACAAGTGCGGTATTGAGAAATTGTCAATATCTCCATAATTTTTGAGTGCTCTCCTAGCTGAAAAATTCCTTGCAAGTAAAGAACTATCCCAAAAGGAAAGGAGTGAACAAAAATATTTTCCTGTTGTGTGTTGTCATAGAGGGAGATTGCTTTGCTTTCCATATTTTTTCAGAAATGGGAATATATCCACAATGCCTACAAATAAAAACAAATTGAAAATTTCTGACAACAACATATCCTTGCTATAATAGTTTTCTATATGAAAAAATATAATATTTGTTTATTTGAATGGGCAAGAAGCATATATAGACCAAATCTTTGCCTATATCTTGGCTAATACATGGGGGCTGGCAATGAGATAGAAACAGCAGCCACTGTGACAGTACTTGCATGCTCTTTAAGCTTTTACCATTAAAAAAAAATTCCTTGTATCTTAAAGCAAGTAAATAATATACATAATAAAATGACACATGTATTTCTATTTAAGGAATAAGGAGAGGCTGAAAGATTATGTGCATTAGCTTAGATGGAAGAAAGAAGTTGTTTGAAACACTAATCTCCAAAAACCAAAAAGCATTTTTTTGGTATTATTTAAGAACTAACTGAAAATCACTTTGATGGAAGTGGGTAAAAGCACCAGGCTAGAAACAGGGAGACCATGAGTTCTAGTATCACATTAGGCACAAAGTCAGCTAGATAACCTTGGGCAAGTCATTCCCATTCAGACCTGAGAAAGAGGCTATAGTAAACCACATCCAAAAAACTTCACCAAGGAAACTGCAGATACTTGTCCAGGCAGTCACTAAGAATCAACACTAATTCCAAGGTACACACATACAAGAACTATCAGACAATAATATTTGGCTTTTATGTTCTATTGGAGAAAGGAAGTTTAATTTCCCTTAGAAAAAGTGACTACTGCATTTCATTCAATGGTGAGATTTTGGAAAATTTGGAACCAATTTGTGGCAATTTTATTTTAAATTTTAGCTAGAAATGAAACCTGGCACATTTTGAATATAATGTTAAATTTGCCATCTTTCTTTTGCCTATTAAATATTTTCCAAAATCCTATTTTCATTCCACCTCAACTTGCTTTCTAGCAAAGTTGGATTTTGGTATATAGCTTAGGATATGAGATTCAGCATATAGAAGAGAGAAGTGCTGAAAACATAATGGCTATTGAACTTTCAGTTTTCCATGCTGAAAGTGATATAGTGCTTCTGCCAATGCTCAAGAAAAGAAATCTGTAACCATCATTGAAAAGCAAAGCAGCTGGAAACATCCTATGTAAAACTAATTATCAAAGAGGAGCCTCGATCCTTTTTCCCAAATGGTACAAAATGATAATCTTGCAGTCATATTAGACCAAAATATTTTGCTATCTAAGGTGATTTACAGGATGGTGCCTTCAGTCTATCATTTATGTGTAAAAAAATATGTTTGGTTTAGGCTTGATTCCTTTCCCAAGGGAGATACAGGTATAGCAATTTTATCTGTCTTTCATACAGCGGTCTGTCTTCCAGAGCGTTAAGAGGAGCAGGGCAGGGTATGTGGTGCAGAAAGTTCTATTTTCCACATCCCCTGCTGTCTCCTGGCATCTACCATCTGAGACAGCTGTCTTGCTTTGCATAATGGGAGGGATATTTATATGAAAGTTATCAACAAAGTTTGAATGCTGTAATCGTGTCTACACTGACTTTAATGGGTTTTTTTCCTACGTCTATCCAATAGATGACTTAACTATTGAGAATCTCATCAATCTTGCCAAAATATTGTAAATTGTCATACGGCTGCAGCAGAACATCCAGGACTGAACTCTGGAGAGCAGATCTAGGAATGTATGATTCAGGGCCTGGGAACTAGATGGACAGATAAGCTAGAGTCAACCAATAAGAAAAACAGCAATCTCATTTTATTTGGCAAGATAAGCCTTGCCATAGTCTCTCCTTCTCATTTCTGCATTTTCAGTTCACCAGATGAGCATTTGCCAGAGTTTCTGTATATCATTCAGGCAGTACTCCTGGCCTGGTCACCAGGGAATGTATCATCTGAGTAAAAGAACGAGTCTGGAGAGAATATCCATGGGGAAAGCAGAATCCTATCAGAGGCATGTGGACACAAGTGAGTGTGTGCAGTGGCATCTTCAATGGCATGTAGTGGATCAGCTGCAAACCAGGAATTTCCCTCTTGAAACTTTCTTCTACCACAAGTTCACTCACTAAGTAGCTTTAGGCAAGCCATTCTCAGACTGAGTTTCCCATCTGCAATATCAGAAGAAAATACCTTCACCTACTTAACAGAGTGGATTATTGTAACATTACATCAAAATAATATAGGTGAAGTGCTTTGAAGCATTAAAAGTTGCACTGAAATTATCAGAACCATTATCTTCACAAATCAATTGTACATAACATGTTCCACACTAGTTAATTAGTGTGGAATACTACTTAGTAAATAACTAAAAGAAATGCTTTTAAAAATGATCATAAATCCCTCTCTCTATATATATTGTTTAATACAAAAGGAAGATACAGGATCAACAATTCCCTTCTGAAATTTCAGTAGCCACCATCAACTCACTTTCAAAGCTAAAATTGCTGCTACACTATAAAAAGATAAAGGACTATGCTATATGTTGATACAAATTCTGGTAGGAAAGCCCTAATGAACAAAAGTAGCTATAGAGGGAACAATTTTGCAGAGGAAAATCATTAAAAAGAATGTTTAGAAAAAGTTTGATTTTCTAAATCAAAATAGTTTGCAATTTGGGGTTTCTAACTCAAGGAAGATTATGCAATCATCAATTGAAAAATTACATAACACTTCCTAACTAATTAGAAAGATAGATTTGTAGCATGGATGTCCTTGTGTTGAGTGAATTGGTTGCAGCCAGTAGAGGCTGGCCCTTCCCTGTTGACAATAACCATCTGAGAGAAAGTCAGAGAGCTTTGCCCCCTTATCAGACAATCTGTCCCCCACAAGGACATTGGATTTCAGCTGTTCCTTGAACATTCCACTATTGATGATAAATACAAGTTGTGTTTGAAATGAAGACAAACCCTATTGAGTTTAAGTTGTTTCTGTTTATAGCCAGTTAAAAGCAGATTCTTTCATTATTGGTGGGTGTGATCAAGTGACAGTAAGAAACATGAGGGCTACTTCACAATTTCCTATCTAAAACTAAATTTCAGTACAGGAAGCCATATGAATCACCCACCAAGCAGTGGAATCAGAACATGGTGCTTGACAGAGCTATTAGCCAACACAATGAAACCAATCTCATCCTCAAAGAGACTATAGACTAATTTTAGACAACAGGGGTCAATGGAAGGAAAACATGATCCATAGGATGACTGAAATACCTATTTCAGTTATAATTCTGTGTATTTAAAAAATCCTATAGAACTAAAATTTTGAATTGAGGTAATTTGAATTTCTGTGCAAATAATGGTTGAATTTGCCTGCATCAATTATGTAAATAAAGATGAAAGTGGTTCCTTCTTTGCATAATCTATAATCTTCTTTACACCTGCTAGTAAGGAGAGAAGGAAAATCATATGGCTGTAACTAGAAGTGACTACCATTTTGGATTTTCTTTGTCCATTCTCTGAACCATCAGTTTTGATACATGAATGTGTGTAGGGTACATGTTAGGGATATCAGATCATAGTTTCAAAAATTTGCAAGAGCA